TTTATATGTGAAGTCTGAAAACTTATGTGAGACTACCACTCTGGTAGATGTCAGCTTGATGCCAGCCGGTTATTCCCATTATGGTTTCAACAAATCTGTCTCTCTCTTCTATGGCTGCTGCTTTCAGCACGGTACAGTGACAACTAATGTTCATGATATACATGGATATCCGATCCAATCTACCTCAAATCCAAGATGAATCCTGAGAATGGGCTTAAACCCATACTCATAAGCAAGCCGTGGTCGAATTTGCAAGAGACGGCGGTGACGTGAATAGCTAGTGACAATAGGATTAATTTGAGCATCCATCAGGTTGCCAGTGAGTGCTGATCCAAGGACCTGCGGGAGAGAATAGTTGGGTAGCACTTGAAGAAAGATATATTGGTAAAGTTTAGCTGATGTGTTCGACGTGCGAGGTAGCTTTGCCATGATGGCTGCCATTATGGCTGCCCTCGTCAACGAAGTTCTCCCTCGCTCCTTCCTTCCTGCATTACTACCCGCTCCTCCCGTCCCTCGATCCTTCCGTCCCCGGTAGTTTGGGTCGCTTGGGGTCGGTCCTTCCCCGGGTTGGAGATGCATTGCACGCGGTCGCTCTTTCCTTCTGAGAGATGCATACTACGTCAACAATCAAAGAGACCAACAACGCCGAGATTGTTTCATTTTTGTATAGCCATCGTAGATAGCCACTGAGAGTCTTCGCCTGTCCCGCGTATTCGGGATGGTATACATTTAAATGCAATGTCTGAACTTTGTCGAGCGACGTCGACGAGATGAGAGGAATGAATATCACATTTATAAGCACACACAGGCATACTTTGAACTTTCTGTATTTCTTACTTCTATGATCCCATATATACAGCCAACACCCAAATTCGCAGAGAGACAGATAAAAGGATTATACAACACCCCCATGCCTTAAGCCTGGGCCTCCCCGTACGTGATCTGCGGCGGTGGCTGCTCGCCTGCCGCCATAAAGTTCGTGTTTGGGTTTCCCGTCTCCTTCGCCGCCGAGCAACGCGCCATTGTTGGAGAGCTACAAAATATCGTTAGCCACCATATTTCATATTAAAGTAGGGTGGGGGTGAAACATACCTTCTCGAAATAACATCTGTGAAATAAAAGTTGTCAATGACCTTCTTCAGCGGCTCGTTGGTCGCCTTGCTACCCTTGTTCTGGTCCACCAACTGCACCTTGCTCAGCTTACCGAGCGACACCGGCTCGACGACATCGTAGCTCGCGAGGGCGGGGCTGATTTCCACCATACGGTCGCGGAGGGCGGCGACATCGTCGTATGGAAGCGGTGCCCCGAGGAACTCAGACGCAGCGCGGAGAATCTTCCAGTCAGTGCGGGAGGCGCCGGGTAACGAGGTAGCAGCACGAGTCATCTGCACGCGACCCTCGGTGTTGACGTACGTGCCAGACTTCTCGGTGTAAGCTGCGCCAGGCAGGACGACATCAGCGAGCTGGGCGCCCTTGTCACCATGGTGGCCCTGGTAGACGACGAAGGCGTCCTTGGGGATGTCGGATGCGTTGATCTCGTCAGCGCCGAGGAGCCAGACGAACTTGGGCTTGGTGTTGCCGACCTCTGCGGAGGGGGTGGTGAAGCCAACCTCGAAGGCGCCGGCGCGGGATGCGGCGCGCTGGAGGACGTTGTAGCCGTTCCACTCCTCGGTGAGGAAGTTGGCGTTCTTCTCGACGAAGGTGCCGACGGTCTCGTAGATGGCCTTGGCATCGGCGTGGTCAGTCACACCGGATCCAACGATAACCATTGGGTTCTTGGCAGCCTGCAGCTTCTTTCCGAAGGGTCCGGAAAGGGCCTTCTTGAGGGCAGCGGCATCAGTACCAAGGTGCTTGAACTCGAAAGTGGACTCGAAGGACTCGCCGACAACGGCAACCTCGAGCTCGGAGCGAAGCCATTGCTTGCGGATGCGGGCGTTAAGAACCGCAGCCTCGTGACGTGGGTTGCAGCCAACGATCAAGATGGCGTCCGCATCCTCGATACCCCAGATCTTGGAGTTGAAGATGTAGTTGGAACGGACGTCAACACCGTGGGCAATTGGCTGGGATCCGTTTGGCTGGTCAAGGGCAAGGTTGTCGGAACCAAGCTTGTTTGCGAGGTCCTTAGCTGCCACCATGGACTCGACCTCGGTCAGCGCACCAGCAATGAACTTCAACTCGTTGCCCTTTGGCGCGAAGTCACGGTACGCAGCGCCAATTTCAGTCAGTGCCTGCTCCCAGGTAGCCGGCACAAACTTATCCCCATTGCGGATAAGGGGTGTGGTAAGACGCTGGGTCTTGAGGCCATCGCACGCGAATCTGGTCTTGTCGTCAATCCACTCCTCATTGACATCGTCGTTCAGTCTTGGGATAATTCTCATGACCTCCAGTCCGCGAGAATCGATGCGAATGTTGGATCCGAGACCGTTAAGAACATCAATGGACTCAGTGTGCTTCAGCTCCCAAGGCCTTGCGCGGAAAGCGTATGGCTTGGAGGTGAGGGCACCAACTGGGCACAGGTCGATAACGTTTCCAGACATCTCGGAATCCAAGTTCTTCTCAAGGTATGTGCCAATCTGCATGTCGTTTCCACGTCCGGTAGATCCAAGCTCCGGAGCACCGGCAATATCGTTGGCAAATCGAATACATCTCGTGCAGTGAATGCAACGGTTCATCGAAGTCTTGATTAAAGGACCAATGTTCTTGTCCTCGGTTGCACGCTTGCCGCCAACCTCGTGGAATCGTCCGCGGTCAGAACCGTAACGCATCGACTGGTCCTGGAGATCGCACTCTCCAGCCTGATCGCAGACCGGGCAATCAAGGGGATGGTTTGCCAGGAGAAACTCCATGACACCCTCGCGAGCTTTGTGTGTAAGAGGCGAGTTGGTCTTGACGACCATGCCGGGCTGGACAGGCCACGCGCAGGATGCTACAGGCTTCGGTGCCTTTTCGACCTCAACCAAGCACATACGACAATTTCCCGCAATCATAAGTTTTCTATCTCGATTAGGGTCGTGAATTAGATATCGCGTCTAGGTGGGACTTACTCATGATAACAGTATCTATGAGGAGTCAGTAAAGATCAACTTGGGTATCAATTGGGGGATTACATACCTTGGAACGACGCTCCCTGCCTTCTCGCAAGCTTGAATTAATGCCGAGCCAGCTATTAAAATCGTCAGTTTGGTCCCAATCCCCCCACAGCACATCACGCACCCTCAATTGAGATCTTCTTGCCATCTGTAGAGCAAAATTAGTACAATCCCATACGATGTATCACATAACCCAATGCCACATACCTATAGTAAGTTCGACCTCCGCTTGTCTCCGTCCTGACATCGAGAAAGTCCTGGCGGCATTGACGCTCTGCGCGCCCCTCCGAAGGGCCGACCTGGTGATCGTTTGCCGCAGCATCGTGCCTTTCATCAACTACCAAGGAAACGAAAAGAGGCGGTGCTGTACAGCGGCGTGCGTTGTGTATTCACCTCTATTGGGAGTCGGCTGTGGTAGTCGAGCTCACTGCCACACGCTGTGATATTGGGATTTAGCGCGTATTATTACTAAACTGTCTTGTGTCCTGTGTGATTGGTGGGGGCCTCGGTTGCGGATTAATTATAATCCGCCACGACGATATGATGCAAAATTATTACGGAAGGAAACCTTTCTTCTTCTTTCTTCTTTACTCATTCAGAGCCTATTATTGTCGAGTAGCTGGTGCAGTCTCTTCCGTTCCGATGGGAGTGATTGTAAGGTCTGGCTTCTCGCTATCATGTGCTCGAGAGCACGGATTCGAAGGCGCTGTAATGGATACGATTGAGAGCCTCTGTTTACATGCTTGATGATTTATGTTTCTTACCGACAGCTGCTACATTTCACATCTTCCCTTTATTAGAGCATCTTATATGATGAATGAACACCCTTTACGAATAGTATAACATGAGATACAGGTGAAACGTGCCCCGAGACGACTACGACTACGACCACTAAAACCGCCCTTTTCGACTCTACTTTCCCCATCCCAACAACCCTTCTCTTCGCCTTTCTCCTCTTCCTCTTCTCCCTTTCCCCCTCCCCCCCCCCTCTTCCTAAGATTTCAAATGATGAACAAATTGGTCCGTGTTACTGAGGGGCCTCAAGAACCCCGTTATGGCGATACACCAGCACTTCGTGCACTTCTGATTGAAATCAACTTCTCCCCCATCTAGTGATGGGGTGAGTATTCTATAAGCTCCACCGTTGATATCTAAGACTCTGAGACTCGTCTTGCCTTCTAGCTATCATACATAGCCTGAACCCTGTGAGAAAATCAAAGGTGGAGAATGTCGAGCATTCCTTGCTCGACAATATATAGGCCGTATATATCACAATTTGTTTCCCCATCATTCCTACTTGTGATACAGAAAACCGGGGCCTCAAGGCTGGGACGAAGGTCTTGCCCCATCATAAAAATATACATTTAAGGTCACCAACTTCATCCAGCACCCCTATTATTAAGCTCGACTTCCGATTCCTTTCTTTTTACTTGACTGGCAAGACATGAATAAAATTGGAATCCGGATTGAATGGCAGCTACCAGATGGCCAATGGGTATCTCGATGGCTGCAGTCCACAAAGAGGCCGTTCGGGATGCTAGCAGGAGAGAAAGATGACACCAGGCCATCCACCGCTGACAGCACTAACGGTGACAGCAGCCCCACAGCGAGAATAACCCACCGATACAAGCATCCCCATGTCGCCTGCTAGCATCCCGAACGGCCTCTTTGTGGACTGCAGCCATCGAGATAACATGCCTGGATAAACATTCTTGCGATGCGCGGATTTGCAGAGTAGTGAACGTATTTGCCGTCCTTGCTGCTTGTACCGCCAACGTCAAGAGGATTGTGGTATGTGAAAGGTGAGACAAAAAAACAGTAGTTATAATAAGCAAACTCACGTAGGTATGTGGAAATATATGAACTGCTAAATATGAACCAGTTGGTTGGTCAGGTTTGCTTTATTTTGCTTCTGGGAGGGCCGAGGTGGGATGAAGAGGGAGAGGTGTATGAAGGCTGACGATGTGTTCAGAGTAATGAGAGGATATACAGTATGCCCGCTTCACGACGATAATGCCCGCTTCACGATGATAGACACATTAATTAACACACTAACAGTGAAGACAAATCAGGCGAGAACATGTATAATTTATCTAGCCTCTCAAGGACAACGAACAAGCTCACGATAAGGCACAAAGCACATCGATCTACGCATCCTCATTGCTCGAGCCCAAAAAAATCCTCTAAATCTCAGCATCGTCATACCCCCGCATCGCTTTTTGTCCGGCAAATTTATTCGTTTTATATTTTCAGGCAAAAAAATTCCCGTTTTCGACGAGGCCTGCTCATAGGCGTCCCTTGACCAGATCCCCCCTGCGAAGAAAACACACAAATATCAGACTCTGGAGAAACAGCAGGGAGGAGGAGGCGCGACGTCAGCGGCGCGGGGTGGAAGTGAGAAGAAGGTCCTACTGGGCAGCGCCGTCGACCTTGGCAATGTATGCGAGCAGGTCGAGCACACGGCGGGAGTAGCCCCACTCGTTATCGTACCACGAGACGAGCTTGACGAAGTTGTCGTTGAGGGAGATACCGGCCTTGGCATCGAAGATGGAGGAGGCGTTGTGGCCGTTCATGTCGGAGGAGACAACCTCGTCCTCGGTGTAGGCGAGTATGCCTGGGGGTGTTAGTCTGGGTGTAAATTTGGGGATGGGGGGGGGGAACGTACCCTTGAGGGTGGTCTCGGAGGCCTTCTTGATGACGGCCTTGATCTCCTCGTAGTTGGCGCTCTTGTCGATGCGGACGGTAAGGTCGACAACAGAGACGTTGGCGGTTGGAACACGCATGGACATGCCGGTAAGCTTTCCGTTCAGGGCGGGGATAACCTTGCCGACGGCCTTAGCGGCACCGGTGCTTGAGGGGATGATGTTCTGGGCCGCAGTGCGGCCTCCACGCCAGTCCTTGGCGGATGGGCCGTCAACGGTCTTCTGGGTGGCGGTGTAGGAGTGGATGGTGGTCATGAGGCCCTCGATGATGGTGAAGTTGTCGTTGATGACCTTGGCGAGAGGTGCCAGGCAGTTGGTGGTGCACGAGGCGTTGGAGATGACGTTGACGTCGGACTTGTAGGTCTCCTCGTTGACACCCATGACGAACATGGGGGCGTCGGCGGATGGGGCAGAGATGACAACCTTCTTGGCGCCACCCTTCAAGTGAGCGGAGGCCTTCTCGGTGGTGGTGAAAACACCGGTGGACTCGACGACGTAGTAGGCACCAGTCTCGGACCATGGGATGGCGGCGGGGTCCCTCTCGGTGTAGAAACGGACGGTCTTGCCGTTGACGATCAGGTCCTTACCATCGACCTTGATGTCACCCTTGAACTGACCGTGGGTGGTATCATACTTGAGCATGTATGCCTGGAAGCAACGGAATTAGTAAGATATTCTTGTTTATGGTATTTATGGACAGTGTAGTGTCTTACGGCGTAGGTGGGCTCAATGAAGGGGTCGTTGACGGCGACGACATCGATGTTGTCAAGCTCGACGGCATTGCGGAAGACGATGCGTCCAATGCGACCGAAGCCGTTGATTCCGACCTTTGTGGGAGCCATCTTGATGAAAATGTTAGTATTGGTGTTTGAGGCTGTAGAGAATGGATAGGGAGAGTTTGAAGTTGTTTTGGGGTTGGTATTATTCTCAAACTGTTGAGAAATCCCAGGTGGATAGAAGGCTGATGTCACGAATGAGGGGTACAAAAGCTCAGCTTTGCAGCTCCAACGTGAAATTCCAAGCCCGTGTAGAAGCACAGACGGCGAGGCTGATGCTCATGATGATGAAGAGTACTCACATTGTTATTATGGGTGGATTTGTTTTGAGTGAGGTTGATAAACAAGTGATTTGATGTTTGGACGAAGGAAAAGAGAAGAGGATGGAGGGGCAGTTGAGGTTGGGGTTGGGGGGGAAGAAAATAGCCGATCATCGCACGTCCTGTCCTCGTCGAGTCGTCGAGGTACATAGTATGTACCTTGTAGTAGTGTATGTACTGGATGTATACTTAGGGCCGGGAGGGGGGAAGGGGGATGAAATCATCGTAATTGATTGATACACTTGATATATAATACACTTGATATATAAATATATAATCCACTTGATATATAAATATATAATACACTTGATAATACACTTGTATATAATAATATATATAATACACTTGATATATAATACACTTGATATATAATACACTTGATATATAATACACTTGATAATACACTTGATACATAATACACTTGATACATAATACACTTGATACATTACTTAATACACAACAAAGGTCTCGCCCAGATATAATATGATTCTGGTCCAATCAGCCATTGACCGTCGAGGTCCCCCTTACTTCTCCGCATTCGCCGTGCTGGTCCCGTCATCCGTCGTCATGGGCAATATACGTCTCTTTCTCTCTTTCCAGCCGTTTCTACTGCGCCTTGAGGGATATTGGGCGATATTGAGCGACATTGGCCGTCCTTGGCCCGTCATCGTCGAGGAAAGCACCGGAGCTTCGGTAACAGACGTGCCCCTGGCCCCGGATTGTTTTCGCAGGGCTGCTCTAACTGGGCTATAAGCGGTTGATGGCGAGGTTACTCGTCGACTACTGTTGGAACAGAACTTCCAAAATCTACATTTTTGAGGATATCACCAGATGCATCAAGCGTCCTGGAGTACGTATGGCACACCACACCCACATTTCTTGGGTCTAGACGCCGGTGTCGGTGAGGGATCGGCGGGGTCGGTGGGCTCGGTGAGTCCACGTATCCTCCAATATGCTGTGGGCCAAAGCTCGTCAACAGCTCTTATCGGCCGCTTGGTGGCACTTGGTGGCACTTGAGTAAGTCGTCCAAGTTGTAAGTCGCTACAAGTAGCGGCGGATAAGAGCTGTTTGGACTCGTTTAGCACCGTAATTTGCGTAATTTGTTATGGGATTGACAAAAAGTGCTGCAACTCCGTACACGTGACATGTTTTTATATAGTCACGTGATATCGGATGATTTTCATATTGTCACGTGACATTCATACCACCGAGCTTGAAATGAACAGAGATAGCTGTAGAGACAAGTCCTTACAAGCTCATTCAATGGAGGAAATCATAGTCTCAAGCTCCAATGGCATCTACAACATCATTCTCAGCTCCCATCCTCCCAATCCACGTGCTTCCCCGACCTTCACAAGTAATTTATCATGTATGTAAATCCTCGCGCCCCCATTGGCCAATATCAACTTACCCGGCCGTAACATTTTACCTCTTCTCCCTCGCTTAACCTCCCTCCTCCCTCCTCCTACGGAATTTAATGCGGCTCTCACCAAACCACTAGCTCCAATCTCCTCCCTCCCAACCAGCCCAGCTGCCACTCATCAAGCATCCAAAACCTCACCGTCCCCGACCCTCACTCTCTTTCACATCCACCCACCACACACGCCCGCCACAATGCTCCGCACTCCCATCACCCGCGCCCTCGGCGCCACCGCGCGCTCGTCCTTCATCGCCCGCCCCGTCCAGTCCCGCGCCGCCCACGCCATCTCCAACCCGACCCTCGCCAACATCGAGCGTCGCTGGGAGCAGATGCCGCCGCAGGAGCAGGCCGATATGTGGATGGCCCTGCGCGACCGCATGAAGACCAATTGGGCCGAGCTGACTCTGCAGGAGAAGAAGGCCGGTAGGTTTCCCTTTCTCCGGTGGATGGGCCGAGGTGATGCTGTTGCCGGACCATTGCGTTTGGCCTGGTAGAAGAGGTCGTGTGAGGGGATGGGGGTATATGTAGGACTATGTTGCTGACGTGTTATGTGTCGTATAGCTTACTGGATTGCCTTCGGTGCCCACGGTCCCCGTGCCGTCACGCCCCCAGGAGAGGGATGGAAGGTCCTCGGATACACACTCGCCGGTGTTGTCGTCTCCTTCGGCATCTTTGCCGCTGTCCGCTCCTTCGCCAGAGGCCCACCAACCACCATGACCAAGGAGTACCAGGAGGCATCGAACGAGTACCTTCTCGTATGTTCCCCCCTCCCTTCCCCAAAAGCACCACCTACCCGAAAAACAGAACCCTCACTAACATCCTGCCCTCCCACAGGCCCAGAACTCCGACCCCATCAGCGGTCTCTCCTCGGAAGGCTACAAGGGCCGAGGAATGGTCCAATCCCCACCGGCCGCGAAGAAGTAAAGCATCTCTCCGCCCGGCTACGACGAATAATAGACTCTTGTACTGTACAACCTCAAACCCGATTCTCGGCACACGGCCGTTATTCCGTTTGCCGCGCATTTTACTTATTCCCGCGGTTTAATTTTTGTTGATGGTGAGCGGCGGGAGGGGCCGGGAGGTCGGCTCGGATTTGTACAAAGATGATTTTGAGAGCGGAAGTAGAAATTTTGTGAGAAAAGTGGGGGATGGGGGGAGCAGGTTTTTTTTGTGCATAGAAATGGAAGGTTGTTTTTGTTGCATCTGTGTATGCCTTGTCTCATATGCGTGTGCAATTGTCTGTGTCTGCGTGGCTGGTTGTATGCCTGGAGGGTGTGTATAAAAAGGCAAGATCTCAGCCTGGGCGTTCGAGCGGAAATTCGTTACGACAACTAGACCCAGATACTGTTGCTCATACTCCGTTTTCGCTCCTCTCAAGGCATTTATGTCAGGTCCGGGTCACCCACGCTGACTCTTCGAGAAACAACAAGGGTTTCGGCAACAGCATTCGAGAGGTGAGGATATTACACCGGCAGTAACAGCATCGGAGAGGTGAGAAGATGGCAGCAACAGCAACAGTATTGGCCGTCGACAAGAATTCGCGTCAACGGTGACAGCAGACAACCCACGCATTTCCACTTCACGACGCAAGGAGGGCAATATTATGATCTGATGTTGGCATCTCTCCAAAGCCCGCAATATCATCCACACGACTCCGTTGATTTGTTGATCTAGTGCATGGATCTTAATCTTTGACAAGAATGTCAACTCGAATCTATAAACCTAACGGAGAAGGGCGTACTCGCAGGCTTCAGTGAATCATCACTCCGCATCATTACGCCATATACTAGCCCACTTGCCTATCAAATCCCTGGAATGGACCATACAGACTCAAAGGCAGCATCATGGCACCATAACTCTTGCAGTGAATACGGTGACATATTTGACGAATGGCGCCCTAAGGACGAACCCGACTCGGGAGACGAGGAGATAAAAAAAATCCCGCCAGTCGGACCTCAACTACGTCGTATGGTTATTGACACCATTAGGGATTTGGCAACGTTACGTGTGAATAGCTTTACAGCTATCCATCTAGCTTAGTGCCTCCTCTCGACGACATCTCCTCGGTTCATCCCCGTATCCAAAAATTAGGTACAGATCTGGGAACTTGCCCATGATAGCTCTCTTCCCTTTATATTATATTAGGGCGGTGAAAGGCGTGGTTTGAGTCGGCCCTGTCGGGCTCCATGTCGGCTCGAGATCGACGGGCTGCCTCGGATCAAGGCCGCCGTCAAGGACCGGCCCCAATCGTATCGGTTGCTATTCCGGCTTTGCAAGCTGAGATTCGGGTTATATCACTGTCGGAAGAGCCACCGATGCTAGCCGCCCTTGTTAATAATATATTTGTATTCCTCGAAACCTCGCGGCCAACCTAGATATATCCCATATGCCCACGCCTCCTATCCCATCCAGGTAAACGGCCAATAACCATGCAACGCCATAATAAGACTCCCGCCCCCTCCCCCCAAAACCCCCCTCACATCCCACTCTCAGCACTCTCCCTCAACGCCTCAAAACTCACACTCGAGTCCTCCACCCCCTTCCCCCCCTTCTCCTTCTCCGCCCACTCCTTCTCCTCCATCTCCCACGCCCGCACAAACTCCCCCCCTTTCCCACGACTCCAATACCCAACCCTCCCCTCCCTCCTCGCCGCCCTCGCATCAACAAGCACATACCGTATCGAGCTCCCAGGGACCTCGTACATCGCCTCCCCGAGCAGCATCTCGACCGCAGTACGCAATCCACGTGCTCCAGTCCCGAGCTCGAGACCCGTCTGCGCGATGGCGTATAGAGCGGCGGTGGTAAACCGCAGCTCCGCGCCGAAGGTGGCAAACATGGCGGTGTACTGCGCGGTGATGGCGTCGCGGGGCTCGGTGAGGATGCTGACGAGGTTGGGGAGGGAGAGCGGGGCGAGTGCGACGGTAACCGGTATGCGGCCGAGGAATTCGGGGATTAGGCCGAAGGTTTGGAGGTCCTGTGGGGTGGCGAGGTCGAGGGGGTTGTAGGTTTGCTCGGGGACTGTTGTGGCGGCGGCTGTCGCGGTGCCAGCCGCGGACGAGGCGGTGGGGATATCGGTGTAGAAGGGGAGGTTCTTGAAGTACGTGCGTGCGTCTTCTGGGTTCATCGTCATCTGATGTGGCGAGGAGGGGGTATCCCAGACAGATGCCCCAAAACCGAGTGAGCCTTTGGAAAGGCGGTTCATAATCATCTTTTGGAGGCCAACAAAGGCACCGGTAAAGATGAACAGGATATTGTCGGTGTTGATGGTGTAGCTTTCCGGCTTCTGGCCGTTGCCTGTTGGCTGCGCTGGATTGGCGGTGAAATTGACGTTCGCTGCACCCCCGCCAGGAACGCGGTTACTCTTCTGATCATGTTTTGCGGTTATAGTGAGTGTTGTGCCTTCAACTATTTTCAGCAACGCTTGTTGTACACCCTCGCCACCGACGTCCCGGCCGTTCATTGATCGAGACACGGCCAGCTTGTCGACCTCGTCCAGGCATATTATTCCATGTTCTGCTCGAGCAACATCGTAGTCTGCAGCCGCAAGGAGCCTCTGCACACAGACATCCGCATCTTCGCCTATGTAACCGGCTTGTGTGAAGGGTGTGCAGTCAGACATGCTGAACGGGACTTCGAGGGCCCGAGCCAGAGTCTTCAAGATGTGAGTCTTTCCCACCCCTGTGGGTCCAATAACCATGACGTTCGATTTCTCTATTGTAATTCCTAGGCGGTCGGCAAGGGGATCGTGGAGAGGGGGAGGTTCATTTCGTATAAATTCGGTTCGTACGGGTTCATTCTTTAGAGAAGAAATTCGGCGTGCTACTTTAGGAACAGGCTCCTCTTCCGGTGCTGGGCTGAACTGTATGGTTCTCTTCGCAGGAAGAAATATATCTTATAAGAGCAGTCCTGTCAGTATATTTACAACAGTGTTCCACAAATAGAAACATAACTTGCCATCAGAATGGTAAACTTCGTGTTCTCGAACACTCCTCTTCCTAGCCTCACGATCCAGCCTGAATTGCTCCTCTTCCTCTTGCCGTTGAAGCTCATGCACTCGCTGATAATGGTTATACACGGCTACGGACAGCATCTTCTTCGCCCTCTCTTGCCCAATAACATATTTATCCAGGTGTTCCTTCAATCGCCGAGGTGTGATTCGAGGTGCCCCATGGCTGGATGCTTGGCCCAGCGGACCCCTTGTAGGACCCCCAGGCTCATAGACTCCAGTGAACGGTTGCCCCTGAAAGTCGTTCCTATCAAAAGGAGGTTCTGATGCTTTCTTAGATGTGGAGAATGCCGCTCTCAGTGGTCGCTTGGTGGTTTTGTGCTTGAGGTTGGAGAGGGCAATGTATGATGTCCGGACCTGAGTGCCGGCGGTGAAACTGAGATCCCCCAAGATGACTGGAGGCATTTTGGGCGAAGGCGAGGATAATATCACATAACGGAGCTTCACAAAAGCAAAACTCTCTTCCCCGCCAGCTCCGAATATAATTCAATGGCGCTGTAATCGAAGTTGAGTCACTATGCCAGGCGATGTTTACCCCAATGGCCGACGCAGGGACGAGGGACCACACAAGGTGCCAGGTCGCGAGGCTAAGCGAAGGCGGTGGCGTATCAGTGGAGGCGACTATGGGATCTTATGTCTGATGGAGAGTCTTGTATTTCAGAGCCGCAACATCTATTACAATAATGAAAAATAATGAAGCTGCTGCCGTACAGTATAAAGAGATCTACAAGTGAGAGGAAGTCGGCAGACGCATACAACCAGCAAGAGCAGCCAAATCGTCTGAATCACGTGTTGGCAGTTATCGTTATCAACGGATATAGATTCTGGTGGGGTGGACAGGCATGGACGTCATTATTGATTGACTTGCCTCTCCAACAGTCCAGCCATGAATAGAGATTTCACCATTTAAGCCGTAGACAGTAAGACAAAAACTCTTCTCTAAAGTCTCTACAAGTACAAAAAGTATTCCTGATGCCTCTGAATAGCGTGAGAGTAGGAAATCTCAAGTATTTTGGGAACATCTTGACTTAGACACCCTGCTCCAGTCACCGTGTAGCGCGAGTACTTGGTAGGTTTCCGTGGACACCAGCACCGCCCTTGGACGCGCCGCAGTCGAATGTCCCAGGTTGTTCCTGTCACCCTTCTCTCCAGATTCAAAACCTACACAGTCACTTCTCTCGAAAGAAAATCTCTTTCTAGGTGGATTTAATCTCAATAATCTCTGTTTCAACCTCCAATACTGCAATCGTGAGCATGGAGAAAGTCAACCAAGCTTCCGTGAACTCAATCATGAGTGCACAACCTGCCGGGCCTCCTGATGGGACAGGTGAGCTTCCACACTTGCAGAACGATAACACAAGAGCTAACTTCTACGCAGGAGTTATCAAACTCGACCCATGGCTCTCCCCATTCAAAGAGTCCTTGAAACAACGCTTCAGCAAAGCACAAGACTGGATCTCGGCCATCAACGAGTCGGAAGGAAGTCTCGAACAGTTCAGCAGAGTCAGAGCTCTCCCACCCTCCTCCTTTCGAACATTAAACTCATTATTATCAGGGATTCGACAAGTTTGGATTCAATGTCGACGCAAACAACAACATAATATACAGGGAATGGGCCCCCAATGCAACGGAGGCATTCCTTGTTGGTGATTTTAGTCAGACCCCTCACCTCGGTGAGCGTACACTGCAGCCGGCTAATACGGTAGTAGATGACTGGAACAGGGAAGAATTGCCCATGAAGAAAGATGCATATGGTGTATGGGAGATCACAGTTCCAGCCAAGGATGGGAAACCTGCGATTCCACATAACTCGAAGGTCAAGGTAAGGCCATGTCGCTTCATCCTTAATAAAATATTCTAACCAAGCATGACGGGTAGATCTCACTGGTCCTTCCCTCTGGCGAGAAGGTTGATCGAATTCCGGCGTGGATCAAATACGTCACTCAGGACCTTTCGATATCTCCTGTGTACGAAGCCCGGTTCTGGAACCCCCCCGAGTCCGAACGATACGTTTTCAAGCACCCGAAACCGAAGAAGCCACAAAGTGTGAGAGTATACGAGGCACATGTTGGAATATCCTCTCCAGAATTGAGAGTGTCGACCTACAAGGAGTTCACGAAGAACATGCTGCCCAGGATCAAGAATCTGGGATACAATGTCATCCAACTGATGGCAATCATGGAGCACGCTTACTACGCCAGCTTCGGCTACCAAGTCAACAGCTTCTTTGCAGCGAGCAGCAGATATGGCACTCCCGACGACCTCAAGGAGCTCATTGATACCGCACACGGATTGGGGATCGTCGTTCTACTCGATATCGTTCACAGCCACGCATCCAAGAATGTTCTCGACGGCCTGAACGAGCTTGATGGCTCCGATCACCTATACTTCCACAGTGGCGCAAAGGGCAAACACGAGCTGTGGGACAGCAGGCTGTTCAACTATGCTAGCCATGAAGTTTTACGCTTCCTCCTCAGTAATCTTCGCTTCTGGATGGACGAATATAACTTCGATGGCTTCCGATTTGACGGTGTTACCAGCATGATCTATAGTCATCACGGTATTGGAACGTAAGTTACTGTATACCCTACCGCACTACACAAACTAACAAACTTAGGGGGTTCTCTGGTGGTTACCATGAGTACTTCGGACCAGGTGTAGATGAGGATGGTCTCGTTTATCTCATGATTGCCAACGAGATGCTGCATAACCTGTACCCGGAGTGCATAACAATCGCCGAAGATGTGTCTGGTATGCCCGCGCTTTGTCTTTCACTGTCTCTAGGTGGCATTGGGTTCGACTATCGACTGGCGATGGCAATTCCAGATATGTGGATCAAGATTCTCAAAGAAAAGAAGGATATCGATTGGGACATGGCGAATATTTGCTTCACTTTGACCAACCGTCGACATGGCGAGAAGACAATCGCATATGCCGAGAGTCACGACCAAGCGTAAGTCCCTCCTATCACTAATTTGGACACTTTCTTACAAAGTCATAGATTGGTGGGAGATAAATCCCTCATGATGCATCTGTGTGATGCGGAGCTTTATACACACATGTCAACCTTGACTGAGCTAACTCCGACAATTGAGCGTGGGATGGCGTTGCACAAGATGATTCGCCTCATAACACACAGTTTGGGCGGCGAAGGCTACTTGAACTTCGAGGGGAATGAGTTTGGCCATCCAGAGTGGCTCGACTTCCCACGAGAAGGAAACGACAACAGCTTCTGGTATGCCAGGCGTCAACTCAATCTCACGGAAGACAAGCTCCTCAGGTACGGATTCTTGAATGAGTTCGATTCCAGGATGCAGCATACCGAGGAGAAGTACGGATGGCTTCATTCTGAGCAAGCATACATCAGCTTAAAGAACGAATTCGACAAGGTCATCGTCTTTGAGAGGGCTGGTCTGTTGTTCATCTTCAACTTCCACCCAGAGAAGAGCTACGTAGATTATCGTGTAGGTGTCCAGAAGGCTGGTACCTACAAAGTGGTGTTGAACACCGACTCCACGGATCTCGGCGGCTTCGAGAGGATCGATGCCGGCAGCCGATTCTTTACCACGCCATTCGAGTGGAATGACCGCAAGAACTTCACCCAGGTGTATATCCCAACACGAACTGCCATCGTAAGTCTTTTTATTTTTCCAATGAATTATTTTTATGCAGAAAACTAATGCAATGCAGGTTCTCGCGCTGGAAGAGACACTTTAGGCCTCTAATTTTAAATTCGCTACTTTTCCTATTGTAATTAGAATTTTTCATTTTTTGTGAGCGAGCTTGGAAAAATATTTAGTGTTAGCTACAACATTCAGCGTTCTTAGTTAGTCCATGGCAAATTATAAAAGGGATATCTTTCTCCTGAATGTTGTTTTTGTGCAGCCGAGATAATTAATGTCCTTCGCGCCGGAGGCCCGTGAGACAAAATCCGTTTTCTCCTATTAATCCGACTCAACCGGGACATCCCGATATCACGTGAATCTGCAGAATGAGCAGATATCTGTCCTCGGGGGCTGTATGAATTAAAATTTATCTCTAAAGACTTCATTCAGCAATATGAGAAATAAAGAAAGCATCCGATCTGTATAATTCAACGATAGGTATGGGATAAACTTCGAGATAAGACGCCAAAGCGGCTGTTGTTGACATACTCTGTAGGAACTTAGTCTGCCAAGATATTTTAAGCGAGCCAGAGAGTCGATTTCCGACTTTCACGACAGAACTCATCTCCTACCTCAAGACCGTCTGCCATTACCTCCATCTCCCCATCCACATATTACATCGCTCTTTACCATCTGTCAAGATGTTCAAGAGGTGCGTCTTACCCATTGAAGCTTTATTTAACCCCCTAGGTCTTCGCGTTGGATCAATTGAGCTGACTCGGCTTTCGGCTATAGCGGACTTCTCAAAGCTGTCCGCCCATCGGTGGCAGCAGCATCGCGCAATGCCCTTCGCCCAGCTGCTCGCACCGGCCTGAAGGCCTCTGCTGCGCGCTTTGCCAGCACTGACGCGTCATCCCACGGCAAGATTCATCAGGTCATTGGTGCCGTTGTTGATGGTAGGCTAAAACTCTGATGGGAAACGCCGAGAAGCTTTAAAAGACATCAATCCATCTCAATTGATGACTTCTCGATCAAGAAAACACTTGCTAATGGTTTCCTACAGTCAAGTTTGACACCGACAAGCTTCCCCCGATTCTCAACGCTCTGGAGACACAAAATGGTGACCAGAGACTCGTCCTCGAGGTCGCTGTACGTCAACCCGACAATCCATTGAAAACATCAAAATACAATTGCTGACATTGAGGATAGCAACATTTGGGAGAGAACGTTGTTCGTTGTATTGCTATGGATGGTAAGCTACAATTGATTTTTTTGACCAATTTCAACAAAACGCTAACACCTGATAGGTACCGAGGGTCTCGTCCGTGGTCACCGTGCAACCGATACCGGCAACCCCATCATGGTTCCAGTCGGTCCCGAGACTCTTGGTCGCATCATGAACGTCACTGGTGACCCCATTGACGAGCGTGGTCCGATCAAGACCGCCAAGCGTGCTTCCATCCACGCTGACGCTCCCCCTTTCACCGAGCAGTCCACTAGCGCCGAGGTCCTTGTTACTGGTATCAAGGTCGTCGATCTCCTCGCTCCCTACGCTCGTGGTGGAAAGATTGGTCTCTTCGGAGGTGCCGGTGTCGGAAAGACTGTCTTCATTCAGGAGCTGATTAACAACATCGCCAAGGCCCACGGTGGTTACTCTGTCTTCACTGGTGTCGGAGAGCGTACCCGTGAGGGTAACGATCTGTACCACGAGATGCAGGAGACCAAGGTCATCAACCTTGAGGGAGAGTCCAAGGTCGCCTTGGTCTTCGGTCAGATGAACGAGCCCCCGGGAGCCCGTGCCCGTGTCGCCCTTACCGGTCTCACTGTCGCTGAGTACTTCCGTGATGTTGAGGGACAGGATGTGCTCCTCTTCATTGACAACATTTTCCGCTTCACCCAGGCCGGTTCCGAGGTGTCTGCTCTGCTTGGTCGTATCCCATCTGCCGTCGGTTACCAGCCAACCCTCGCCGTAGACATGGGTCTCATGCAAGAGCGTATTACCACCACCACCAAGGGTTCCATTACCTCCGTCCAGGCCGTCTACGTGCCTGCTGATGATTTGACTGATCCCGCCCCCGTGAGTTTCCCCATGAGCGAGGTATGAGTGGATCAAGAACTAATTTAAACCAACAGGCCTCCACCTTCGCCCATTTGGATTCCACGACTGTGCTGTCACGTGGTATCTCTGAGCTTGGTATCTACCCTGCCGTCGATCCCCTTGACTCCAAGTCCCGTATGTTGGATCCCCGTGTCATCGGACAGGACCACTACGACACCGCCACCAAGGTCCAGCAGATGCTCCAGGAGTACAAGTCCCTCCAGGACATCATCGCCATTCTCGGAATGGATGAGCTGTCTGAGGCTGACAAGCTTACCGTGGAGCGTGCCCGCAAGGTCCAGCGTTTCCTGTCTCAACCCTTCGCCGTCGCTGAGGTATGTTATCCCTGTAACCGTTTGCACGTGACAATTACTAATTCCTTCACAGGTTTTCACTGGTATCCAGGGTACCCTCGTCGACCTCCCCAAGACCATTGATTCGTTCAAGCGCATCATGGCTGGTGAGGGTGACAACCTTCCCGAGAACGCTTTCTACATGGTGGGAGACTTTGAGTCTGCGCGCGCCAAGGGAGAGAAGATTTTGGCTGATCTTGAGAAGTCCGACTAGAGAGTTAATTGGGAACGGGGTGGCGATGGTAGTATAGCACTTAGTGTACAGTAGATTTCAATCAAATGCTCATACTATAGAAAAATTTGGAATTTTTAAAATTGTTTCTTCGGAATCTTTATTCAACCGCTGCAAACCCCAAGTGACTTGAACAATTTTTGGTGTCAAGGAAAAGTAGCCGTCTGTATTTTTATATTCATATACAACAGAGGCTTACCTTTAGCATTCACGCAATAACTTCTCAAATGGCCTGCTCGTCCCGTTAGAACTTATGAATGGGACAATGTGGAAAATAGTTACGGTAAGGCTAGAAATGGGTCATGAATCCTGCTAGGCTTTAGGCGTTCATAGCAACTATGGACAGGGCTACAGATAACAGTCGCTTTGAGGTTAGAAACAGCTTATAGATCCTATTATAGTTTTAAGTGCTTATAATAACTATAAAGGGGAATATGGATAACAGCCACCTTAAGTTAAGAAACAGCTTATAGATCCTATGATAGCCTTAAGTGTCTATAATAACTATAAATGGGAATATAGATAACATTAACTTTAAGGCAAGAAACGGCTTATAGATCCTATTATGGCTTTAAGTGTTTATAGCAACTACGAATAAAACTACAGATAACAGTCACCTTAAAACTAAAAACTAAAAACAGCTTATAGATTCTGTTGGCGTTTGTTGTGTTTACAGCAACTACGAATATAAAAAATGTTCTTAGTCACTTAGAACTAGAATAATCATATCAGGGTCTTTCGACGATCCAGTTACTCCAAATCGAATATCGGCGCGTAATTATCCCCTTTTCTACACGAAAACTTGTTAATATGAAAGACACAGGCTGCCGAAGTGCTCACGTGGAACAGCAGACCAACATGGTACTCCGTTTGTCCTAGGGCGGAACTGCTCTTACGCAAACGGCGACGGTCGTCATCACAACTCGAGATTTGAGCATATTGTCATTAGCTGCGAAATTAATGCTGTTGCTGGTGTTGTTCTCGTCGATAGACCTTCTTGCTGACGGACCTTGTCGCTGCGCCTCTTCTCACTGCTGCTCTTTCTCACTGTCGATTGTCGGACCTTCTCACTGCTAAATATTCTCACTGTCTGATAATCTCACCGTCAAACTTTATAGCTAACGGATGTTCTTACTGACGGACGTTCCCGCTAATGGGCCTTCTTGCAAGCGCCCGCACATATGTGGTGATACCTTTATGGAGGTGAAATCCTGGCCCATCCGACGGGCAATAAGCAGGCGTACCCCCCCCCGCTCCGTCCCTCCCTAGTGAGGCACAAGACAGGCCGTGGCAAGCCGTGGTAAGACGAGGGTCTTGAGACCGAACCCCGGCCGTAGAGGATATACTATACCATAAGTAGGTGTTGAAAACGCGGACATATGGAGGAGGGCTAGCGTTCAGTCTTCGTAATCATAGCGGACGGGTCTACTCTCACGAGATAAGAGATTCCTCTGGCTCACAATTCCCTAATAAGTCTACCAGTTGTATCATTGTTATCCTAATATATATACTATCAAATTGGGGGTTTTAAGCACTGTTCACCTTGTACTCGGCCAGTTTGCTTTTAAGAATTGTTTCCAATCGTGGCGCTTACGGACCTCTCAGATGTCCCATCAATCCGCGCTTCCTTTGCGTCATAGCCGAAGTTACACAGTAAATCCTCCTTCTCAGCCTCCTCCTATGCCTCCTTCCGCCCAACCAACTCCCAGACCTTCTACAACACCCTCCTCCGCTACCACCATGGCCCAACCACCTCCCTCCTCGAGCTCGGCACCGGCCACGGCCTGATCGCGCGCCGCCTCTCCCGTGGGGAGAGGCGAAAGTAGCCGAATATCTAGGAAGACGGTCATTGGGATGGCAATGGACAAATTCCGGATGTTAGCCAATAAGGAGAATTTCCCCTCGATGCAACCACTTTGTCACGGCCGAATATTTTAAGTATAACTTGAATTCGTTCGTGGCGGGTTCGTGATGGTACCCCACAACCCCACGGATAGACAGTTCACTATAGTGCGGGCGTTCTCATAATGGACGATAAATATAATAAATATAAAACATCCATATTTAAGAAGTAAGTTGTATTAGAAAAACCAGCTTATAACTTAGGCTTGATTAATATCTATACGTTGAGAAAGAAGCTGTGGTTGAAAACGGGGGGGGATGCTCTGTCGCTCATTGCAACTTTGCCCTCTTTAATAATAAGCAGTTGCTTCCCGAGCTCTAAATCGAGCCATGCCAAATATTAGTACATAATGTAGAGCGAGACTTGAATTTTAGAAGCCGATTAAGTTGATTAACGTGCTTCCTTAAGTTTACGGAACAATCATCATACGTGCGCGGCCCTGACGTGAAATCCTGTCATAGCCACCTTAGCCTCTGCCTCAGCCTCTCACACATTCTTAAACTAGCCTCATCTCGAATTCACAATCTTTTACACTCTCACAGAAGGCACTTCTAGTTGTATTTACACTATGCGTGGCCACCGCCATTCAAACATTCATCGCAACATCCACTTTGTAGATGGAAAAAACAATGAGATCTCTAGTGCCTGGCAGAACGGGCCGCTCACCTGGTCGGAAATGGCAGAATGGATCGAGGTTGTTGTTGAGGAACCTGTCGACAGCTACGCTCCCTTCCGCTGCCTCGAGCTGGGCGACCCAGTTAACCCTCTAGCGCAACATGGACCAGCGATTGTAATGCAGGGAAACAATAATCAGATTTCGACTGGTTTTTACGTGATTCTAAGCCCTGATGGTAAGCTATAGTTACTCTAGTTTCTAGATTTATCGAGACTAATACTTTTGGATTCAGGTGCTAGTATTAACATTCGTATCAATCGCCAGAATCCTATGCCACGCACTTCTACTCGTGCATCATCATCGAAGTTAGATCCTCGTGTAAGTTTGTGAATTTCTATACTTGGTTTCCTCTCACGATCGATGAGAAACACCGGTTGGGAGATAGCATGACTCTACTCGTTCCTGGAACTCATTATGGCGCCGTCTCACGAACTCATGCAGCCTTTTTTCGACATAGGCCACTCTCACACTCTCAGCTCCTCTTCCGTTTTTTGCTCTTAGGTGCCTTGGTCCTGGGCTTTGAGATCGAATTTCCATCATCTGAGTCATCAACTAAATCGTTTCAAACTCTAATACTTGTATAGACGAAGACCTTTCGGAACCGGGTCCGCGAACGTGATGGGCGTTGTGTCGTCACTGGCGAGAAACCACTCGATGATGTGGATTTCGTTCGTCTGGAGGCTGCGCACATATTTCCATTGGCACATCTCGACATGGTATGAAGCTCATAACTACTCTTGATTATTTCAAATCTAACGTTTACATAGTGGAAGGCGCAACTTTGGCAAAGGCAGATAACCGACGATAGATACGTTGGAGAGTCTGGCATTAATTCCGTACAAAATGGAATACTTCTACGCTCCGATGTCCACCAGTTGTTCGACACATATCGCCTTGCCATTAATCCTGATGTAAGTCATTGCTAAATAGTTTCTACTTTATAGTTCTAATTATATAATCTAGCGCGGATATAAGACGTATTGCTTTGCCAACGTTGCTACGTTAGACCACATCCAGATGTATCAGGATCCAGACACAGTCTCGCAATACCAACCATGCCGGGGCCTCTTAAAGCACCATTTTCGGATGTGTGTTTTGCTCAACATGAAAGGCAGGGCGGGATACCCTAAATGGGACGAAGATCTCCCTCCTGGGTGTGATGACATGGCAGAGGTCGCGAGTTCAGAGGAGGGGAAACTCCGTCTCGAGACCATCTTGGCGAGCAAACTGAACCACCTCATCGCATAATCTTCACAGCACTTCTCCAAAACCAAGAGCCAACGCTGGGCTATATGTTGTCAAAAAGGGCGGGGATTATGATGCAGTATTTCGGCGGGCAAAGGAGGCGATCGGGGCCAGAGCTGAGTATTGGTGCTGGTGTGCTTGAGAACGAAATAGAATTTGTCGTATAACTCTCTGGGAAGAGAGAGAGGAGAGCAGGTGGGCCGGCGGGACGGACCTGGGGCTTGAGTTGCTTTGAGGATCGGTATATTTCTTTGGCTGAAGGAAGTAGCAAATGAAGAGTAATAAATCTTGTCTGCTTCAGCAGTGACGTGGCATTGTTGAGTCCACTCGTTCCCTTTATCTCCGGCAAAACATAATCGCATTGTCCGAGTGGTGAATGTGGCCATTGAGGCGCCTTTGGGGAATCTATCCTGTCCATTGTTATAGCTGAGACATAATAGTATTGTTCGTTTCGACGTGACAATCAAAATCCGGGCTCTCTAAAGTGTTGGGTGAGACGAAACAAGTATCATTCTGTAGAATAAGAAATAAACATAACGAAAAGGACAAGGCATCAGTTCGGAAAATGTCGAATCCAGACAAAACCCAAAATGCAAGACTCGATGATATTTCTTTGAAGTAACTCGTGCTCTTTGTACTTTTTTTATTTCAATTTGGCGCAGAACTGCCCCCTTTCTAGATGGATCTGCGCAAAACCAAATCAATTAACCATGGTTTACTGACCCTTCTAGTCCTGAGGGGCGCAAAATATCCAAACCATGGTTGGAGGGCTGTTGGACTGGCGAGCTGATGGGCTGTCGAACGCGCGGGATGGGCCATACAGACTTGGGGAGCGAAGCTCAGAAGGGTTGGCGGGAGAGTGTTTAATATGATCATATAATAACCACCTTCAAGGCAAGTGTACGAGTTGTCTCCCCGTAGACATTAAACATCGATGATAGATTATTATTATATATTGTTCCGTGCCTACAATAGTCTTACACATATCCCGCTATGTAACCCCCTTTTTACGCCAAACTCTCATCCCACGGCACCCACCTCTGTTCCTGGTAATTCGGCATGCACTTGACCAAATTTGGCGGATCCTTCACCCACTGGATCTTTAACGCCGTATCTTTCGGATCATCGCCATCCTTGGCCACCCACTGCGACGCATACCCCTTCAGCGCCTTGATATCCTTCCCCCGCTCATTCGAGTACTCTAAGTTGACACTCGGCACCACCGCAATCTTGCCATACCCCGCCTTCCACAGCTCCTTGCAGAATATCTCCGGTTCCCCTTGGAAACACTCCGTCGGCTTGGCCGTGAAAACCGTCGCCCCGTTCCAGCACGAGAACACTTGGAAGGGCCGGTGCTCCAAGTACCGCTCCCGCGTCTCCGTGTTGTTCCAAAACAGATTCCACGCTGAGTCCCAGCTCCCGTCCGGTGGGATGTGGAAGAATGTATCCCCAGCCATGTCGCGCGCGATCCACACGTCGTAGAAGGTAGGGTGCTCGCCTGCATACGTCCAGTCCATGGCGCATACCATGTCGGCGGACTGGTGCAGGCGCTGGTGCAGTAGCTCCATGATGTCTTCCCTGCATATGGCGACGTCGTTGAGGAGGATGGTGGTGGCGGGATCGTACTTATCGGGCTGGGACATCAGCGGGTGCACTGCCATGTTGCGCAGCTTGGCTAGGAGCTCGATGCGGGCCCCGGCGGTGGGGTTGAGGTCCGAGGAGGTGAAGAAGTATGACGCGCCCATGCCCTCAATATCGGCACACAGCAGTTTCAGGATCTCAAAGGTCCCGTCGGTGGAGCGGCCCTCGATGATGGAGAGGGCGCAGTTCTCAGGGCCGAGGAAGCGCATGACTTCCATGACTGAGCCAAGCAGAGTTGGGAGAAGGTCGGCGCATTGGTATAGGTCGATGGCAAAGAAGTATTTGGGTCGTACGGCGCGGAAGGAGAGCTGCTCCTTGTTGGCTTTGAGACAGTCGTATCTTACGCCTTGTGGAGCGGGGCAGTCTAGTCGAGGGAAGGTCTTGTCTTCGGGTGCCATGATAGCTCGTATGTAGGCTGGCGCCGCCCCAAGAAGTGTGGCATTGCCCTCTCGAAGGGTCGATTCTCCATTGAGGCCACTGGTAGCTGTTCAATCCATCATGATTAGCTCCAGCTTACATGGCGTGTACGTGTATGCATCCAACTCACAAGTAGAATCTGGGACTTGCTTGGTCAACGACGGCGATATCCTATCAACCCATTTCCTCACGAACGCGATCGAGGAGGGCGAGGCAGACAGGTAGCCCGCGCTGATCAGAATTGACGCAACTGCGAGAGACAGGCACACGGCGGATAACAGGATCCTGAGATTCCCTTTCATGGTCCGTCGAGATGCTTTTGCTGGAGCAGCTGCCGATTCATAACGATATGTAATTGAGAAGCAGACATGGCGCTAAACGTATATATATTGGAAGCCTAAGAGAGAGGGATTGTGTGCGACTGCGACGGCCCTGCCCTGGCGTGAGTACTATGGTAGAGAGGTGTTGGTTGTAAAATGGCGTGGTTAAGATCGGCCGCCGGGGGAGGGAAGGGAGGAAGGCTGCTCCCGCGGTCTACTGCGCTGCAATGCGGTGCTACTGCAGTAATCACAACTGGTCAAATAATCGCGCGATGCCAGTACTCAATCCTACCCGTACTTTACATACTGTGTATTCCTAGAACGGGGGCCTGTTCCTCTTTCCGGATTACCCGGCCGTGATACAGAGTGGGTGCTGTATTTCATCTGAGACTCCGTACTATGCGCTGTGTTGGTTCTCTGCAAATGGCCGAGTCTCACAGGGGCCGTGGCGTCTCATAAAAACGATATCCCCCTTGCATTGTTTCCGTTCCATGTGCTCATAGCAGAGTTGAAGTCTGCTCTCGCCCTTTTCATTATCAAGAGCTAATATCTTTCTCCCATTCTTCTCACCATTCACTATCACCATCTCTCCGATATATCAATAACGCCCTGGCGAGGTTGAGAGCACGTTCCCGGAATCGAGCTTGGATCAATAGAACCCTGAGGATGAATGAAGATGGGTATGCGCGGTTATCTTGTAGAAGAAATAGACGTTATACGCCCGCCGTGGCTCCAACTACCGTGGCGACATGTAGAAACTATGACCGAACTTCTTGTTACACTACAGTCTTCATCCTAAGCGCCTATGATATCGTGGGCGCTTGGATCAACAACGGCGGTTGCTCAGCTGGATGTGGCATTGTTGCACATCCCACCATCATGAGATGTAGATGCTATGCATGGGTTCTTTATGTTTGTAGCAGTACGGCGGTTAAAGCCGACTGGCCATACCCTAGCGCTGTATATACCAGGCAAATATGTACGTTATGATACTGTATGCCTTCTGTTCTCATCGTGCCTTCGACTTTCATATACCATCTGCTCCAACTCTATCCACTTGAGTTCAGTAGTGCTATGGAGTGGGAGTGCACGGACAAGAGCATGAAGAAGAGGATCTGCAATAGGTGATTTAATACAATATATATTCAACAAAACACAGCACAACCACCCGGCAATCGCTGCGTCTATAATAACCAGTGTGCCGTTCCAACGCCAGTCCAATGCAAAGTCTTACACACCCGAAAAGGTCTGTTTTTCAATCCACATCATCACCTGATACACCTCAATACACAGTCCACGCCATTCCGTCACCAAATCGACGCCCAGTCCCCCCCTACCCCATCCCACCTCTCACCGCCCCTCTCAAATCAATCCAGTCCAGTACCACCCTTATACCGGCAATGAGAACTTCTTCCCCTTCATGACCTTCGTATAGTAGATCCAGAAGAAATCACTGTACAACACGGTCTGCACAAGCCCCGCCAGCACCGAGATCTGATCCAGATGCCCAGCCGACCAGTACCTCCAGATCCAGTTGGGGATGTACAGCGCGCGGTATATGCCCAGTGCGAAAATGTAATGCACGGTGATAGTGTCCGCCTCGCCCGTGCGCTGCAGCATGAACAGCTGCGGCAGGATGGCCACGCTCTCGAGCCAGATGCTGAAGCTCCAGAGGACTTCGCGCACGGTGTATTCCGGCGGGAAGAGGGCGCCGAGGACGAAGGCGCCTAGGAGGAGGTATTGCACGCGGAAGGTGTCGAGGGGAGCGGATTGCGTGGGCTTGTAGGTCGTCATCATCAGGTAGAGCGTGTAGCCCGAGGTGGAGATGAAGAGGATCTTGAAGATGCTGTTGTAGTAGCTGTCCGTAAAGGTTGTAAAGATATCTGCCGGGCGGACTGTTAGTGGGCGCCTGGCTGGGAGGCGAGGGGAGGCATACCAAGGTAGCGCGTCACGTAGACAATGAGGTATAATGCTTGCGACTTGAACGAGATTCCGGCACAGCTCTGGGAGGGATATCAGTTATAGCTCCAAGGTAGGAGCGACGCATCGGAAGGAGGGCGCCTCACGTTTGTCCGTATCATCTTATCCAGCAAGATCAAAATCGAGAGCAAATGGGAGAAATCTCCTGCGCAACAATTAGCTCTTCATCCCATGAAGCCTCCTCAATTAAAAGATGCGTACCCAGCAGACGGAACAAATTCATATTGGCGGTTTGATGGCGCAGATGCCCGTCACAAAGGGGTATGTGTCTTCCTCCAAGCAATTTACAAGTTGCGCGGTTTCAACGGCAGGTCATCGAGTGCGCTGGGGATTGTGTTGAAAAGCAGCGTGCGAGGCAGTTGATATATCGCGTCCTGAGGACACGGGGCAGATCTCGATGCTTGCGGAACCTTGTGGCGGAGGCGGAGGAATGTTGTTCCTCGAAGCTGACTTGCCCCTCCGGAACACGTGTATTAAGGGATGAAACCATAGAGGACAGGAAGTAAAGGAGAAAGCAAATATAAAACATTTGTATTGTTAATAGGAAATAAGCGTAATCGTGTCGTCCTAATAAGGGCCAGCTGATAAGTCCGGGTTTAAATCTATTTTTCAAGCGCGCTCTCGGCACATGGCTTGAGCAGAGTGGCTGAGAATATGACGAGCATATATCGACACAACCACACTAGATTCACTGCACACTGCAGATAAATATTGTTGGTTTGACGCATTTATCATTGGACTATGCTCTGCAGTATCTAGCTGCAAGTCTCTATCAAACCAAACCCCCCTTTCACCTCCATTTTTATGCAAACCAGCCGTCATAACGAAGGCCTCGTAACAGAGATCCATCTACTGGCCATATCCATCCTCGATCCGACCCTTGGCCATGACCTGCCGCCAGGCCACCCAGCGTCCTTCATGAACCGTATCGTGCGAGTCGTAATGCTTGTAGTACAACAATATGAGAGAAAAAAAAAAGTGTAGATAAATCCACACTACAATCGTAATCTCGATATCCCACAAGACTCCTTTGAAAAATCCCCACGGTAGACACAGCCGGCCATGCCGAGCGAGTAAAAGCGCGGCAAGCAAAAGCGTAAAGAACGAAAAAATACGCGCTGTCTTTTTCCAGATATTTCGGATTTTTATTCGCCGTAAAAGAGTCTGTTGATACACCGTCCGTCATTCCTTCGACATCGGTAGAAAACGTTGAAAACTCCAATGTCGCGAGTTATAGGCCACCCTCCTGGGCTCCTCCGCGATGCGCACCGCGCCCGCCGCGTGCGCCGGGCTGTCCGTTTCCACCAAAGTGTCCACGACCTCTCATGCCGCCGCGTCCGCGTCCTCGGCCGCGGAAACCACCACGGTATCCATTATCGACGCTGCCCTGTCCGAAGGTCTCAAAATTCTTCTTCTGCTCCTCCCCGCGCCACTCGCGGCCACCTGGACGCCTGCCAGTGGAGTCGCCCTCTGCACGGTCCTTGCTTTCGCTGGACAGGTCGTCAAAGAAGGAAGACGACTTGTTGTAGGATCCTGTCGCCGCGTTGCTCTCTGTTGCTGCGTCTTCAATTGGGCTCTCGGCAGGCGAAGTGCCAGCAATTGCTTCCTTGACCAGATCTTGCTTGTTGAACTTGGCGTTGGATGATTCGAAGTCAAAGTCATCCTTGGGGACCTCAACCTTGGGGGCCTCCTGGCGAGGTCCTCCACGACCTCGCGACGCACCTCGTCCACCAAATCCGCTGACACCTGGTTGACGGGGAGCACGAATCGTGTCGTTCGTTCTCATTTCGTTGACCTTTCTGGTCAGGTTATCAATGGCGTTGCCGTTTTGGTGCTGGCCCTCGACAGGTGGGAGCTTGGCCATGGCCGCGGCAACCGCTGCGGTGGCAGCTTGAGTAGCATCTTCAACAGCAGAGCGAGCAAGAGCATTGACTGCTGGGGTGGGGGCCTTGCTGGTGGTAGCAGCATGGGCTTTAACAGCACTTGGGCTTGCAAGGGGGACCGCAGGTGGGATCCTGCCGCCCTTTGGGCCGGTTGGGGCGGTCTTGGTAGCAGCGGGAGCAGCAGGACCAGCTGTGGCAGCCGGGGCCTGCTTAGAAGCGACAGACGCAGCTGGGGCCTGGACAGGCGACGCCTTCAACTCGACAGGTGCCTGTTGTTGCTTTGGCCCCTTCGCATGGGGACCTGGAGCAGCTGGGGCCTGGCCGCCTAGGCTCTTTGGCTCAACAGACTTATCCGTGGGGCCGGGTATTGTCTGTTGCCTTCCACCTGGACCGATTGGCGCAGGCTTATTCTGCTGTGGGAATTGCTGGTTTGGTGGGCCGGGTGGTCCTGGGGGTCCTCCTGGAGGTCCTGGGGGAAATGGACCATATGGGCCGTACGGAAACGGGCCTGGCTGGGGAAATCCTTGTCCTGGGGGAGGATACCATCCTGGTGGAGGTGGTGGATAAGGCATGCCAGGAAACCCAGCTCCGGGTGGAAGTGGACCGCCACGGCCCCATTGTCCTGGGCCTGGGGGAGGGTAGAACTGAGGAGGGTACTGTTGTTGTTGTTGGGCCGAAGGGCCAGCTGGGTTCTGCTGGCCTTGGTTCTGTGGCGGACCTGGCTGCTGTTGGAACTGTCGTCCAGCTTGCCCCGGAGGCCCTGGCGGCTGTTGTGGTGCCTGCTGCTGTTGCTGGACAGGACGAGATCCCGACTAAAGCATTTATTGTTAGCTTTGAAACACCACATTTGATAAAACGAGTGAATAATGTTGGTATTGATCAGAAGGAGGAACGTACACCTAGGATGGCAGGGTCATTTGGCACCTGTGGCGGCTTGTTCTCCTTCGCAGCTGGAGCCTCCTCGATCCGCAAGTCTTTGACATCACTGCCACGGAAGACAATGTATTCGTAGATGCTATCGCTCGCCGCAATCTCTTCGTTTGGGTTCCCCTTCCGGCCCTCAGTACCAAAAGACGTGACGTTCTCGAGTGCAACGGTCGATGTCTCGGAATTGATCTCATGCAAAGTGCCTACATAGCTGCAGCCGCGGAGGTCAGTTGGGTACGTTGGGGACGTGCAATTGGACCCTATTCGTACCGAATATCACTCCTCGAAACAAGGGATATGCGTGATCTGCGAGCATCGATTAGCTGAAGGTTCCCGTATGTCTTGTTGGCCAGGCTATGGCGTGGAGGCTGGGACTCACCCGATGAACTCGGACATGTCGAACTAGGTCGCGCCGCTCCTCAGCGCAAATGGAAACAGGGCAGTACTATATCAAGCGATCTGCGATCTGAAATCAACTCAGAGCGAGAAAAAAAGGAAGTAATATGATCGCGCCGGGTCCGGAAACGTATAGATTGAAGACGGTGAAGATCGAACGTTGACTGGGAGGTTGTCACAGTGGATGGGATCTCTCTCGTCTTTGGCGGCCTGGGGTGGTGAAGTTTGTGCGCGGTGGTGGATTCCGCGGTGCCAAGGCCAAGGGGATGGTAAACGTAAACGCCAGTTGCCAGACAACCCCCAGCCACCAATAAAAACGCGAAAAAGCCAACAAGGCTGAGCTAAACCTCGTCTGGCTAATCCATGCACAACTGTCAGCCTTGTCCATCAGCCCTGCGCTTAATGGCCGACCCCGAGCGACAAACTCACATGGAAGACCCAACAACTCCCAAGTTTGTGGCCTGAATGTCGAAAGAAATGTCGACAGAGTCGTCAAACAACGAAAAGCTCTTTCAGGAGCTGGACTCTTATAATTGGGAGAAAGATGCCGAATTCCAGGTATGTCTCACGCTATTTACGCCACGCAATCCAATTCTATCGCTGACATTGATGTTCGCAAGGCTGGCCTCGCCGCCATCCTCGGCCCAAACCCAAGCCCCTCCCAGCTGAGAGACCTCACCATCCGCGCCCGAACATTCTACTACGCGCGCAAAACAAACCAGACAATCGACTTCGACGCGTACAAGGCCTATCTTGCCTCGCGATCCCCCGAAGAGTTCCCGGCGCCAAACACGAGCGACGCTGGGGAGTCGACCCCGCTTCCACAAGCCAGCCCCAATCCCACTTTCCCAACATCCTTCGCGGACATTGTTGCCCTCATCAATAGTGGTGCTCCAATACCTGGCATCATGGACATCCCACCTACAGTGCTCGCTGACAAGGCGACGCAGCCGGCGGCTTCGAGGCGAAAGAAGCCATGGGAGACACAGGAGGAGCCCATAATACCAGAGGGCGAAGGGACGTTTGGCAGCGATAGGGACCGCATTATACCACAGGAAGAAGTAAGCCCTTAATGGGAATTAAGCTACGAGGCAGTATAGTTATAGAATTATATAGTTGTAGATAAAGTAGCAGGTGAAGTAGGGATGAAATGGTAGATGAAGTGGCATAACTGCTACTAGATGGCAAACAAAGAATCATATATTTTCCCTTAGGTTTAAATGTTGTCTTTGTTCTTGTTACAACCTCATCTTTGTCTATATTTGCATCTTTGTCTCCCATTGTGCCTAACTTATGTAACAATAACGATAGTGGTATCTCTTAAAACGCCAACCCCTTCTCTAAACCGTAGCCACCTATTCCTTCGCTCGGATAGATGCTAGATGATTAAAAATGTAGTAAAACAACTTGCTGCATTGTAGGCGATTAGTGTTTTGTCGCTGCCACGAACGACTTAGCAGCTAGAGCCACTATAGCCTTCAAAATCTTGTGTCGTATAGTCGGCTTCGAGCATCTAAAGCAAAATTGACACTCTACTGTTAACAGCAAGCAATGAGCCTAAATGAACTTTGTGTCGGGCAGTACCCATGAACGTCTCGCTAAAATAGTGAATGTAAGAAGCGCTCTACTTGAATCTCGACCTCCTAAAACACCATTTCTTAGCTTTCCTTGCTAACACTCTCCTCCTAGTCCCCATCTGAGAACAGAAATGGCCCTTGGGCCTCTCGTCTCCTCTTGCGTGTTTGCTGCTGACTAGACGCTTGTGAGCTAGCCGAAGGCGAAGACGGAGCGCTGCGCTTATTTCCAGACTGCCTAGATCTAAACGATGCAGGGGAAGCGAGTGCTGTCGGAACAGCCCTAGGGTCAGAAGCAGGTGGCGCGGTCTCTTGTACCTTGCCAACCTGCGGCTGATTGACGGCACTGCCTTCACGGCTCGAGGCAGATTCCGACTTAAGCCTTTGCACTTGGTAATCCAGCGCGTCAAACTCTCCCATCATCTTCCCATAGTTCTCCGTGAGCACGTGGATCACTTCTTTCACCGACTGCACTTTTCCATCCTCATCGAACTCGATTAGGTGCTCAATATCCTCAATCTGTCTCTGCAAACGTTTCGACGCTGCCTCAATCTGTTCTTTAAGGTCTTTGGATAACGAGTCGATCCGTCCCGTCATTTCTTCCTTTAAACTAGCTTTAGAGCCATCAGCCTGGGACTGTAGGATAGAAATGGATCCTCTAACAGAGTCTACCGCAGCCGATAAATTTGCAATCGTCGTGGTATAGTTATTCTCCCAGGCTTGTTGCCTACCCTGAATCGCGTCCTGTTCGTTGCTCCCAGCGGGCTTCTTAGAGCCATCAGCCTGGGACTGTAGGATAGAAATGGAGCTTCTAACAGAGTCTACCGCCGCCGATAAATTTGTAATCGCCGTGGTATAGTTATTCTTCCAGGTTCGTAGCCTACCTTGAATCGCGTCCTGAGCATCTTTGATGTAGCCAATACTCTCGGTATGATTGTGAAAGGTGCCTTCGACGAGAGCCATACGAGCTTTTAATTCTGCGATTGGAGCTTCAACCTGGGCCAGATTCGGATACACCGTTTGGAGCTGCCCAAGAATCTGCTTGCAGAGATGATCGGTATATATGTTGTTCATCCGCGTGTCCAAGTTCCGTATGCCCATGTTGATCCCAGCTTCAAACTGCTTACTTTCGGCCAGTCTACGATTGATATCGGCCACCTCACTACGCAAGGAATTTAGAGCTGGGCCCCAATCAATCGCTGGAGCATGAACGCCATTTTGAAGAGAACCGGTTGGAGATGCGGAGGCCGAATTCTCCGATCCGTTCAGTGGTGCTACAGCCCTGACAGGTTTCATATGAACGAAGTCAGACTCAAGGGACCCAACCCTTCTCAACACCTGCCGTTGTTCATCCGACGTAGCCCTTTGTTGAGACTGAAGTGTTTCGATGTTCTTTATTAATTTAGCCACCCCAGCTTCCATTTTTGAGACATTTTCATTCAACCCTTGTATAACTGCACCGTGCGCTATGTCGGAAGCATCCTGTGATTCCCTAATCTCCGTAATGATTGCGTTCATAGAGTTCTTAAGTGCATTGATCTGTTGGGTTATTAGGCTTATGGTGCTAGTGTCTTGGGGTGCAACAGTAGTAAGGTTATTTTCGGGGCCAGTGGTATTCGACAATAGAGATCTATGTGAGGAACTCTCTAGAGACTTGACTCTCTGGTCGAGGCCCGCCAAGTCGTCATCAAATCCCCCGACGTTGCGTTGCACCTGTTCGAAATTTTCTTGTATTTTCAACATAGTGGTTTGCCCTCTTTCGATAGCCTCGATTCTTGGTACGAGCTCCAGGCTTGCCAATGTATTAGTGGTTTGCGCCCGTTCGACAGTTTCGATTCGGGACGCTAGCTTTAGGATTGACGAATGTTCCGCAGCCAGTTGAGTCTTCACTGATTGGATGGGGAGAGTCCTCTCATCACTTGGAGAAGGAGCCTGGTTTGAATACCCATTAACTGGGGCTCCACCAAGCTTCTTGATAGCAATTTTGTACTCTCTCAGCTGATCCTGCTGCTGACTGAGCTGATTTTTGTGATAATCCGAGTGCTTTTTAAGCTCAAGGACATCTCTGCTAAGCGTAACGAGATTATCGGTTTTGCTTAATAGAGATGAATTCATGGCGACCACCTGGTCACGAGAGTCACTCCTTATCCTATCTTCAGCACTTTTAAGACGCAAATCAAATTCCTCCTGAAGCTTCCGGTTCTCGGCTTTCATATCCCTTTCGAGCTTCAGAAACCTATTCTCAACTTCTGAAGATCCACCCACGATCTCAGTGTCAGGCCGAAACGATCTCGCTCCACCTTTGGAAGAAATAAGGGAATCATAGTGTTGCGCCACGACGGCCGTGGTGCTGGATATCTTGGAATTTGCCTCCTTCAACTTTGCCTCTAAAGCTTCAAGCGCCGACTTTTCCTTAGCATATCTTTCTTTTGCTCTTTCCGCCTCAATAGGAAACTGGGAATGTGTAGGCTTCCCTGCCTCGTATATAGATCTTGCCTCGTCGCAGTCTTGCCTCGCCCTTTCGCACCTGAGACGTAAATTTATCTCCTCTGTGGTCCACTCAGCCAACGACTGTATTGCTGACGCGAACTCAGCGCCTAGTCCGCATCTAGTAGGGGTTAAAGGAGTCGACTCTTGTGGTTTTGGCAATGTTCGACGAGATCCGTGCTCGCTCGAGTCCCGAGGCGTGCCATTGTCTGTGCAGCTAGTTAGCCAGAGCTTTAGATAAATTAAACCAGAAGAATGACCTTCCAAAGACAAATTGTACATACCTCTGTTACGGTCACGATATTCCGAAGGCGAACGTTGACCTCGATCATTGGTATTCCGGTACTTTTCCGCTTCGGCAGCGCGCCGTTCTCGCTCTCGTTCCTCGCGGTCTTCTCGGCCTCTGTCGTCATGATACGATCCTCGCCCGCGTCCTCGATATGAAGCTCGGCCACCACCGCGGCCTCGGCGTGGACTCCGGGGCGAATGTTGCCGTGAATCCCAGTGAGAACGGTCTCCTGACATATCGTGCGATTGCGCGTAGCGTTCCAGCTACAGGTAAGATGACTCGACAATCATGCGATTGGTTACGAATGGTCGGAGGTGCTTGCGCGCAACATTCGAGAAGTCGCAAGACCGAGAGAGCCAATGGTCGTTTGTATGGAGTGCGCGTCTGAGGCAATGAACGTTAGCAGGTGTGCTATTCAGCTGCCAACTAAAGGAACAGAGTATCTAAATAGATTCACTTCAAATAACTTACAGTACAGCGCAAGACAGTGGATGGTGGACCCCTTGGTCACTGGCTGGTCTTGGATCAGACAAAAAGCGGTGTTTGCCTGTGCAGGCTCTCTTTAAAGTGTATAGAATAAAGAGCAGCAGGAGGAGGGGCTTCGAGTAGAAGAGGGGGCGTTATATAGTCGTGAGGAGTTTGAGGAGGATTCAGAAGCCAAAAATGGCTTGGCCGACTTTGGCGGTGGCGGTAGGGGTCTGACGACAGCCACAACTGGCTAAAAATCAATATAGTAGTCAAGAGATCTTAAAAAGTAGAGTGCTGCGGATGAAAAGAGAAGTTGTTAAGTCGTTGGTGTTGATTTGTTCAATATTAGAATTATACCACTGCAGATTATAGACGCGTCGGAACTGTAGGTGTAGGTAAGTTAGTAAGTACGTACTCTGCAGTGGGCGTAGGGCGGCGGTGCGTTTGTTGTATGACGGGTGGTAGAGGCGGTACTGCTAATAATCTTTAATTGATCTTTATACCACCATCACTCCTACGCCCGCTCTACCATTCAACGTCCTACCCTCCTGTATACCCCAAACAATTTCACGACATGGCTACGGTAAGTTCTGCATACACTTTAGATGCGGCTCCAATGACCCCCTTGAATACTGACCGTATCCAGACAATCCAGACCGTGCCTCAGAGCAAAGAGCTCCGGGGGATGAACCTGATCGCGGCGCATTCGCATATTCGCGGATTGGGTGTCGACACTGATACGCTGGAGCCCCGAGCAGCGTCTCAAGGCCTTGTGGGACAAGAAAAGGCACGGAAGGCCGCTGCCATTGTGCTGGAGATGGTCAAGCAGGGAAAGATTGCTGGCAGAGCCCTGTTGATCGCAGGACCTCCAAGGCGCGTTTCTCCCAACCCATTCCTGCTTCATAGACTACCCCAGCTTGTTACGCAGAACGAAGTCTCTAGGCGCCGAACTAACAGACTTACAGCACAGGAAAGACGGCTATAGCTATGGGCATGGCTCAATCTCTCGGCCCAGATGTCCCTTTCACGATGCTCGCCTCCTCCGAAATCTTCTCCCTTGAAATGTCAAAAACCGAAGCTCTCACACAATCCTTCCGCAAATCAATCGGCGTGCGCATCAAGGAGGAGTCCGAAATGATCGAGGGCGAGGTCGTCGAGATCCAAATCGACCGCTCGGTAACCGGTGCCAACAAGCAGGGCAAACTCACCATCAAGACAACCGACATGGAAACCATCTACGACATGGGCACGAAAATGATCGATGCCATGACCAAGGAGCGAGTCCAAGCTGGCGACGTCATCTCCATCGATAAGTCGTCCGGCAAGATCAGCAAGCTCGGAAGGAGCTGGGGCAGGTCGAGAGAATACGACGCCATGGGCGCCGATACCAAGTTCATCCAGTGCCCCGAGGGCGAGCTGCAGAAGCGCAAGGAAGTCGTGCACACCGTTTCCCTCCACGAAATCGACGTCATCAACTCGCGCACACAAGGCTTCCTCGCCCTCTTCTCCGGCGACACCGGTGAGATCCGCAGCGAGGTCCGCGAGCAGATCGACCAGAAGGTGGCCGAGTGGAAGGAGGAGGGCAAGGCTGAGATCGTGCCCGGCGTCCTCTTCATCGACGAGGTGCACATGCTCGACATCGAGTGCTTCTCCTTCATCAACCGCGCGCTCGAGGACAAGCTCGCCCCCATCGTCATAATGGCCAGCAACAGGGGTAACTCCCGCATCCGTGGAACAACCTACAAGTCCCCCCACGGCCTACCCCTCGACTTCCTCGACCGCGTCGTCATCGTCTCCACGCACTCTTACGACAAGGAGGAGATCCAGCAGATTCTCTCCATCCGCGCCCAGGAGGAGGAAGTCGACGTCTCCCCCGACGCCCTGGCGCTCCTGACCAAGATCGGACAGGAGGCCGGTCTCAGATACGCGAGCAACCTGATTACCACCAGCCAGCTGATTATGGCGAAGCGCCGCGCGAAGCAGGTCGGTATCGAGGACGTGCAGCGCAGCTTCCAGCTCTTCTACGACCAGACCCGCAGCGTGAAGTTCGTGCAGGACTACGAGAAGAGGCTCATTGGCGAGCAGGGTGCTGTCGAGATGAACATCACTAATGGCCACGGCGAGGCGATGGAGCTGTCTTAGAGGGAGTTTGGGAATGGGGTGGGGGCAAGGCCGGAGTTCGGAGAGGCGAATGGATGTGTTTGTATACTAGCACTGGGCGTCACGGAATGCAAAAAGCTGAGAAGCACGGCAACGGGGTGGCCGATGTTTGTTAGATTAGGCGTGTTCAAGCGTAGCAAAATAAAGAATCTTAATTTTTAGAGGTTATTGACTCCTGAGCCTATTTGATTAATGCTATGAGATAGCAGATCTTCTAAACCAAGCGCCTGTCTTAAGCTCCATGAATTCTCAAAATATCCGCCTGTCTTAAGCCCTGAATTCTGAAATATACGCCAGTCCTAAGCTCCATGAATGTTGCAAGATAGCTTACTCGCAAAAAATAGCCAACGCCACTGAAGCAACATTAACCAGTAATGCAAAGAACCGAGGGTATCACTGCTTCTTATACTCAACCCTCAGCAACCTAAACGCGTCTTCCCACCCTACAACAGCGATGTGATTCCACTCCACCCCCTTCAACTTCATCTCCGCATACCACTCCAACGTACTAAGCTTTCCCTCCCCCTTCTCCTCCTCCGCCCCCTCAAGGCCCTCCATCTGATCTATCTGATCCTTCCGCCGTTCACTAGGCGTCACAGGCGTAACAGGCGTCAAAACACCACCCGGCGACACCGATGCCGATGCTGCCCCATTACTTACCTCACCCTCTTCTACACCACTCGAACCACTTCGCGACCTCGACACCGCTCTCCCAACACTCCCAGAGCGTCCGCGGCGCACTTTATACACCTCCTTATCCTCTGGCGGGACATAGCCAGGTCGGATATTCAGCTCGTTGCGCACTGTCCCGGATGAGCGCACGGAGCGTGGGACGAGGCGGAAGCCGCCTTCGGAGGTTATGATACCTGAGTTTGAGGTCTGAGAGGAGGGCTCGGCATCAGGGGAGTTGCTTTGGGTTGGCGAATTGGTGTCTATGGGTCGGGGGGTGGACGGTGCGGCTTCCGCTGCGGCAGGTGGTGCGTCTTCCATGACGACGTCTTCGGTGGTGACGGCATCAGTGGATGGGATCGCTATATTTGCTTCGGTGACAGGAGGTGTAGGCGGAACCGGCGGCGTCTCAGCTGCCACCGACACATTAGCGGCTTCTTCAGCTTGCCTTTTGGCCTTTTTGGAAAACTCGTAGAGCATCGTTGCCCGATCGTGGTTGCCCTTGGCCCGCTTCACGAAATCCGTCGCCACACTGTAGGTTACACCCGTTTCGACGATAAATTTAAGAACTTCTAGGTCTAAGTCTTCTGGAGCGACACCGGCGTTCAAGTCTTCCGTTTCTGATGTTTGAGTCGTACCCGGCTTAGGCTCGATGGTCGGCTCATAATCGTCGTCATCATTTGCTCCATCTACAGAAGCAAAGCCATTGTGCTTCCACGTCGATTTCCCAGGACTCTTAGATGGAGGCCGATCTTGTGGTGTGTTTTCCGAGGAAGGCTTTGTGCCGGAGGAATTTGATATCTTTGGCGCCTGTGCAACCGCCTCCTCATGCTCTTTAGGACTTGTTTTCGAGCCGATGGCAACGAATTTGCGGAAAGACTTCAAGTGAAGCACCGACCAATATGCGAAGTAGCGGATGAGCTCACGGTCATCGGATGGCTTAATCTCTTCATCCGCAAATACCATTAGGGTACGAGTATCATCCGGTTGCAACACTGCGTCGAGATCTCTTTCTTTCTCGTTCTTGGGACGGACAAGTCTGCCTATCACATCCATAAGATCAAAACGATCTTTGCAATTTTTCATTGATAGTCCGCTGCCGGTAGCAATAGACTGTATCTGAGAATCAGTAAGGCCGGCTGGAAGGGTCTCAAGTAGTTTCGCTCTGCGTTTGGCAGCGCTGAATGCCTGCTCAGATACAAATTTATATACATCACGGCATACGAGGAGCTTCCAAGTTCCAGCTGAAGCTCGAGATCCCCTTTTCGACAAGAACCAGTTCAAGAAGAATAGAGCCATTTCTGGTTCTCCGGATAGGAATCCCGAGGTTAGGCATACCGCTCCTCCATGTGGAAAGAGCCTTATCAAGTATTTGCCCTTTGGAAAGTCTTCATCAATACACCACACGTTGTTTAATCCGTTGAGCAAGAACCCTTGAAGCCCTGGGTATCTCGGAATCAAGGAAATCATCTTGTGGTGGATAATCAGGCTCCCTCCCTCTGGATTAGCAGTGTATTTCAAGAATTGACGCCAAGAACCAGCTTGCTGGCAAGAATATATCCTGCACCCCTTGTTCGAGGACCGTAGCCAGGCAGCCGTATGCTCTGCAAGTGGAGCTGTCATGTTAGGGAACAGGAGAAAAAATGAGTCCCGAGGGCTTTTCTTGTCGACTTGGTGGAGACTTTGGTAGCTGAATCCAAATATTACCCTGTTCAGAAGTTGATAGTCCTCACATCCATCAACTCTCATTTTGGACATCCTACTTTCTGCCTCTCTGTTATAAGACGGGCACACGAGTTTTGATGGCGTGGTGAATGAGAAAAAAGATAGTTGACCGCTGTGCTGAAGCTGGGCACCAAACTCGATAAATTTCCATTCTTCACATCGTGTCGGGTATATGATAACATTGAGAGACTCCAAATTATAAAGCAAACCGGAAATGTTAACTCTTAAATAATCACCCAGGGCAGAGATACTGTCTTGGACTTTCTGGTCATCCCCAGTGCCTGCGGTGACCCTCCCTCTTGCCAATAAAGTGGGATTAAACTCCGACTTGAAGTTATCGACATCTGTTGATCGGCAGATGTGGTTGAAGGTGAGATCTTTGCTTTGGAGTTGTTGGAGCGCAGCCCCCCAGGCCATGTTGTTAACACTAATGTCAATAAATGTTAGGACAATAGGGTCATCTTGAGCCTGACGATCCCCGAAGAATGATTTCAGAGTAGTTTCACTCAAACCACGCTGCGCCTGATTAAACATAGAGACTGGCTTCGGCGCGACACCGTTTTGTTTCGCAGAGTAATTAGCCAGTGATACTTTTCGTACTGGCGCAGATGGAAGAATATTTGCCGCATCTTGCACTTCGGAACTGGCTGGGTGGCCGTGAATTGGAGTTGAAAAAGTTAAGCCCATCGGTGCAGTAGGTGGATGAAATGCGGCAATAGGAGAGTGGTTTGGCTGCTCTTCCCCAAATTCGACGGCAGTAGTCTCCTGCCGAGGAATGAACTCTTCGAGACTAGATACCATAGGCGCCGTTGCCGCTGCTGAACTGAGAACTGGTTGTTGGTCACCTGGTGCAGAGACTGGTGTCTGTGTGCTTTGAGCCCCCCCAGGAACTGGCGCTGAGCCCTTCTTCCGAATACGGTACTCGGCTGGATTCATCAGACGAGGCAGTTGCGCAGGAGCACGATCTGCCAACCCCCTAGCACCCAGCTCAAATCTGCGTTCCTGCCTCTTGCTTGTAAAGAGTTGCGGCGCCTTTACCTCCTTTGAACGGGTTTCAGTTAAGATCCTGTTCTCAATAGTTCTTCGAGCCTTGGGGGGTTTTGACATTGCCATGTGGCTACCCCGTCCCGTTGTACGCGACCTCCCTCTTATTGATCGCTCTCTTGGGGCATCAGTAGAGTGGGAGACCGGGCCTCTGTGAGCAGTTCCTCGATAGCCTGTTGCGCTGGGTGCTTCTATGATCGGAGCTTTGTGAACTTTGGCCTTTGTCTCGGTCCCGATCTTGGTGGGTTTCGCCTCTTTTTTATATCGATCTTCACTTGTAGAAGCATCATTCATAACAGTATCATCGTCACGGTGAGTAGTATCGTGGCGTTTTACCCCAGCTTGCTGTGATTTCTTTGACAGAGGTATTCCTTCATCGTCTGGAACTTCAAAATCGGCCTCTTCGGCTTCATCGCTTGAGGAATCTCCCTTGCTTTCAGATTCCGAAGGCTTTGATTGTTGTGGAAGCCCGAGTCTCTCTCGCCTCCGTTTGCGCCTGGTATGCTCCTCCTGACGCTTTTCGAACTCATCAGTGTCCAATGGCTGAGAGAGACCTTCTCGTTGGCGGAGCTTTTCTTCTTTCCATGCCTTTAATGTGTCCTTACTCAAGATATTTTCCTCGGGTTCCCACGTAGATTCTTCTAGGGGATACCCTTCCCATTCGATTAGGAATACCCGTTCCTCGTCGGTACCTCCTTCGGCCAGGATCCGCTTGACGATATATACATCCTGATCGCTTTCACTGTCTGAACCTGAACCCAAACCTGAACCTGGTGGCGGGGAACTGGATGCCATTGTCTGTTTAGGCGGCAATCGGCACACCGCACTCGAGATTCATCGCCAAGTTAGAGTGGCGTTGTGCTTTGGTGCAGCTTCACCTCGACTCTAGGCAGCTGCAAGGTTCACAACAGAGCCTGGCTCCTACGATGACCTCGTCTAGAGTATTTCTATATCCTGCTAGGCTGTTTATATCAAAGAATGAGAATGCTTGATACTCCCAGGGTCCAGGCGCGTAATGAAACGTGTGTTCGAGTCTCTAGAGGACATTAACTTGGACCTTTATGTACGTTGGAGTTGTATTAATGTAATGTAGGTTCAAGAGGAATGCCCTGCTTCCTTTTAAGTACTGGACAAAGAATGTTGTTGTTGCTTGTTCGTTGTTGGCGTCTTTATTGTGAATTAATTAATTCACTGAAGCGGGCTAGACCATGTGTGGCGCGTGTGTGGCGCAGCAACTGCGGGCTCGCCAATTTAATCGTGTTGCCCGAAATACATAAGTTAGTGTGATGTGGTGACGAACGAACCTCTCTACAACCCCTCCTCCCCCCCATCATCACCACGACATCACGACCGCCAACATGGCTAACGACGAATACGATGTAAGCTATAGCTCTCTCTCAATATTTTTCTTATGCTCCTGCGGTTCCGATAGCTAATCTCTTCTCCTGCAATAGTTCCTCTTTAAGGGTATGGACTGCCCCTTATGCCTTATCCGGCCCCCTCCTGATCAGCACCACATAACGCGCACAATGCTAACCCTCCCTCTACAGTGGTCCTGATCGGAGATTCAGGCGTCGGGAAATCCAACCTGCTGAGCAGATTCACTCGCAATGAGTTCAACTTAGATTCCAAGTCCACCATCGGTGTCGAGTTTGCGACCAGGTCCATCCAGGTCGATGCGAAGACAATCAAGGCTCAGATTTGGGATACTGCAGGACAGGAGAGATACAGAGCCATCACATCGGCATACTACAGAGGTGCTGTTGGTGCGCTGCTGGTTTATGACATCAGCAAGCACCAGACGTACGAGAACGTTACGAGGTGGTTGAAGGAGCTGAGGGACCATGCTGATTCCAACATTGTTATCATGCTGGTTGGTAACAAGAGCGATTTGAGGCATCTGAGGGCTGTCCCGACCGAGGAGGCCAAGCAGTTCGCAAGTACGTGATATCCAACTACTGTGCGAAAGAGACTCGAGCTGACACTACGCAGGTGACAATGGGCTCTCCTTCATCGAGACTTCCGCGCTCGATGCCAGCAATGTCGAGCTGGCCTTCCAGAACATTCTCACAGGTACGATCGTCGAGAACGAAAATACTATATCCTGCCAGTAGCTAACCCCCTGCTAGAAATCTACCGCATCGTCTCGAGCAAGGCCCTTGATAGCGGCGACGGAGCCCAGGCCAACATCGGTGCAGGCACGAATATCTCACTCAGCAAGCCGGCAGATGATGGTTCCGCCAAGGGAGGAAAGTGCTGTTAGGGAACTTATACCCCTTCGATTCAAAGATATTGGTTGGTGAAAGAGATTGTTTGATTGATACAGCGGTGGCGTATTTACTTGTCTCTAAGACGGAAACTGGATGAAAGGGGGTCTTATCTCATGATCGCCGGGTTCTGGTCTTGAGCGATGACTTTTTGCTTTGTACTGGTCTACTCAAATGGATTTTTATAATCCTTTTGTGTTCCTTTTTGGATTCCGCATGATGATTGGGTTCCTTTCACGTGTAACAGTATTTTCTGATTTCTTGTCAATATCAATGCACGAACGCAAACAGTGATTAATGTGTTTGTATTTCTGTTTGTATTAAACCTAGAGGATGATCATAATTCTCAAGTATTGATTTATTTACGAGCTCTCCTCTGCACCCCGTAACCCATGATGCTTCGACCTGAGCAAAATAGAGCTTGACCGTTTGTGGGTTAGCGTAATATAGTCAATCTTAGCCTTGCGCTAAGATAACTCCGCCAAAAAGTTCTCGAGTTGCGATTGAGAAACAAGAAGATTTAGAGAATTTTGCGACTCTCACAACTTCAAGGACATTACCACAATGGCGTCCGTTTATAAGTCATTATCGAAGCCTACGAACGGAAAGGAGGAGGGCGCAAGCAGCATAATCAAGAGGAACAAGCAAAAAGTCTTGATTCTCTCGTCAAGAGGTGTTACATACAGGTTGGAATCCCCAGTTAACGAATGAAGCACCCAGAATATTAACTTGAAGCGCAATAGACATCGCCATCTACTTAATGACCTTCACTCTCTCCTTCCCCACAGCCGAAAGGATGTTAAGCTTGATACCAAGACGAAATTATATCAACTAAACGAACTTGCTGAGTTATACAACTGCAACAATGTGTTTTTCTTCGAGGCCAGGAAGGGAAAGGATCTTTACCTGTGGATGAGCAAGGCGCCCAACGGACCGACAGTTAAGATGCACATGCAAAATTGTAAGGCTCTTCGCTACGTCTACTGTCAGGCCATTGCTCACTAGATACAGTACACACTATGGAAGAGCTCCACTTCACCGGGAACTGCTTGAAAGGCTCCCGGCCTGTCCTTTCGTTTGATGCCAAATTCGACAAAGAGCCACATCTCCGTCTCCTCAAGGAGATGTTCCTTCACATCTTCGGCGTACCAAAGGGCGCCCGTAAGGTTAAGCCGTTCGTCGACCACGTTATGGGCTTTACTCTCGCCGACGGCAAAGTCTGGATCCGCAACTACCAGATCAGCGAGTCGATCCCCTCGAAAGTAAAGCCAGGAGAAGAGGAAGATGAGGCCGCCGAGGCCGCAGCGAAGAAGGCCAAGAAGGTTAAGGGATCAGAGACCGAGGTCAGCCTCGTCGAGATTGGCCCGCGTTTCGTGCTTACGCCAATCGTGATCCTCGAGGGTTCTTTCGGTGGACCGGTTATCTATGAGAACAAGGAGTTCGTGTCGCCCAACCAAGTCCGTTCCGACATCCGACACAAGAAGGCGGGCAGGTACAACCAGCGCGCCGAGCAGAGTATCGAGAAGCTGGCGCGGCACGACGAGCTGGGCCTGCGGTCAGACGGGTTCCAGAAGCCCACGGATGGGCTGGATGCGGCGGCTCTGTTTGCTTAAGCGCGGGTTTCGCATTTGGGATGGCATGGACGGCGTTGTGGGTGTTGGGTTGAGATAATGCGGGTCGGTAACTGTATTGTGGCACCAACAGAGCTTTTTGATGACAACTGACTTTTTTGCTTCGTTCCCCTTCCCGATGGTGATGTGTGACGTGTGACATGCAAGGCATTAGTGTGTACAGCATTCCGAGCTTTCCCATGCTCTTATGCTGAAGGAATACTATTTTCATCGTGCCGAGATCAGATATCATATCCTTTCCTTACCAAGCGCCGTTTCTCATTACTCTATGGGATAACGGTGCATGAAGAGAGGTTAACATCTTCAAACTGATGCGCTTCCAATGTTGGGCCGAATTTGGTATGTTATTATTCTTTTTTTTTGCTCCCTCATACCCTCTTATATGATGACAAATGGTCAAGAGACCAGATATATAACCCAGCTCGTTGAGGCACAAAGTGCTCTGTGAGATAAGAAACATGTTCTGAATCAGCTCAAATATTTATCTACGTCAAGGCATCAATGGGTTTCACAATGCTAATATTGTGACAGATATCGAGAAGAGATCATCTTTTAAGGCTAGGAACCCGTAGTTGAGCAAATTATCAAGGAATATTAAATTATATATCTATTCTAATTCTAATTGTGATTATGATTATGATATGTTCGTGATTGTGATATGTTCGTGATTATGGATATGTTGAAAATGTCTGTTAAATGAAATTACCCTGCATCATACAAGAGTCAGAGCTCATACCGACCTTGGTCTTGGCACTTGGCACCCCTGTCACCCCCAGAGTATAAACAACCAACGTCGCACCCAAATCTTTTCCTTCCCTCCCCATCGATCATCATGAGTAACTCAATCCCCTTTAGCCAACGCTGGCTGAGCGCACACATCGTCAGAACTTCGCAAGATGTTCTCGGCTTTTATTATAGCCCCAACGACGGGGTCTCCAAGAGCTGAGCTACTTATCAAAGCTCTTGACGGTGGTGTGACACAGGCGTTGCAAACGCAGTTCACCACCCGTCAGCCAATTCATTGGAATCGAACAAACTCTGTTGCGAGACCTCTGGTTGATACCTGTTCCTTTGGTGTGAGAAGTGTTGGAGATAGATTGAAGATTGGGGGTCGAGGAGGAAGCTGAGACTGAGAAGCTGCGAAACTGTTACTCGCTGGCATTTCTAAGCTGTTTAGACACGAATTGGCTCGTCATTAACTGTGAGTACCCTATTATCACCGTCCTGAGTTATATGCTCATCTTCTGACTGCAATTGCTGACGCAGTGTAGAAGACTGAAAGCCAACATACCTTGACTCAAAAGAAACTCTGTAATCATGGATCTCATGATGCTGCACCATTTCCCTCATCACGCAAATCATCTTTCCTACGCTGCAACGACCTCCGCAGCTTCGCACGATATCCATACCAATAAACGACTTTCTTCTTTGATACCTGGAGTTGATAACCTGCTGCACGGAGACCGTTCAAACTTCTTGGGAAGCGGAAAGCCCTCGCGCGAAGCCCGCTTTCAAACCGAGCAAGAATCAGACATGCAGTACCTGCCACTAGAGATTGTGCAACTTATATTTGGGTTCTTACCAGACATAGAGTCCATCTGTGCCTTGTCTGCGACCTGCCGCCTCTTTCACCGAGCCTACGCCAGTTCACAGAAGCTTATAATTGTCCACAAAGTTCTCGAAACCCAATTCGGCCCACTCCACGACGTTACACAGCTTGTGACGCTCAACTCCAGCGAACTCCCTCATCAGAACCGTGACCCATGCTTCTCTCTTGCATTGGCCAAGCAGATTGCCAAATGCGGGCGAACTGCCAATAGATGGGTTGCGCTCTACCCCATGCTTCGATGGCGCGTCAAGCCGGAGAACCGGCGCTTTCTCCTCCAGGAGGAAAGACATCGACTTCGTAGGGCCATTTACCGACTTTGGACGTACAACTCGGCCTACACCATGGATTTCGAGGCCTCCGTGGGCCCTAGCATCCTGAGGCAATACCGGACGCGTGAGCTGCGCGAGATCGACGAACTCCGCGCAGTATTCCGTGATACTCTCACCCACGACTGCTGCCTTTCCAACTCCGCGGTCCAGTTGCACTACAACCAAGGGCATCCGACGCGCGATCTGCTCTACTTTGGTACCTACAGCTCCTATGGCAATGACGCGATGCTCGCTCCCGACAAGCTGGAAGGCAAGTCCGTGAGGGATGCCATGGCCGCTGAGTCCTGGGGAGACGACATGTCCGTAGGTCGCAAGATCATGCGGCTGCTCTACATGACGCCGGACGCGCTGCTCGACTTCCACGACGGGTGCACGTGCAAGACTGAGCGGGTGGAGTTTTTGGAGAAGATAGGTTACGATATTAGCTACGGGTGGTACGCCGGCCTTTATGCGGATTCGTATCCGAGTGATTCGTGCCAGGTTGTGGAAGAGGAGAGAGGTGAAGAGCCTCTTTCGGGAATTGAGCAAGAGTGGATCACGGAGGATGAGGGGTGGATGAAGATGGAAGATTTTTAGTTCTGTAGGAGTCGGTTTTAGAAAGAGGGGGCAGTTGTTATATTCTAGAAGTCTGCGTTGTTTTGATAGATCTGGTTTTGGTAGCTTATAATTCTAGACACCTGCGTTGTTTTGATAGAGCTTGTTTCGTAGCTTATAATTCTAAGGATTTCAGTTTGAACACAGGAGTTCTCAGGGCCTCTTCCATACCCGTGCCGCCAAAAAGTCTTAGGAAGGGCCTCATGTAGCCGAGAAATGATAGATATAGCTGTAGCTAATAGAAACGTTTCCTTTAGCTTAATTTTTGAGTAACTACCTTGTAGAAAGGTTCGTATAGTTGTTATCAACCCTTCGAGCGGCGATAGGGTTTCAAGCTATCTTTACACAAAATGCCCATTTGCGGCCGTTGTTCACATAGAATATCAGAGCTTAATAGTACACTTCAGCCGTCGTAGAAGGAGGCTGCGTTCCCATTTATGCATCCGTTTAGCTTCGAAAGCTCAGGTCCTCATGGAAAGGGTAATGACCATATCATAAGTCTTCATCACGGCCTACTCGGGCCCTCCCCGCCATTCTCCTGCTCTCTCTGCCGTTTAATCCTCTCCTCGGCGGCTCTCGCAAGCACCTCCCTTCGACTCAACCCTGCCTCCCCCCTTTCCGGCCCGCCGACCCCCTCAGTCCCCGTCGCGGCACCAAGCACAAACTCACCACCCGTCCAACCCCCCTCATCCTTCGCCTCCACCTCACCAAATCCTCCACCAGTACCCTCATAATATTTCTCGTTTCCTACTACATCCCCGCCTGTCTTCCAATCCGCCTTCTCAACCTCCTTCTCAATCTCATGACATAGGTTCCAGAAATTGCGGTCATGATCACTCCACACATTATGAGCCAGCTCGTGGCAAAGCGTCCGCCGAATCGTCTTGTAGTCCCTGTATCCATCATATGCATCTGTGCGTAGACGCAACTCAATCACCTCCCCACGATTGCGATTCAGCCCCAGCGTGCGCGACACCCCGTCCATCGAAGCCGTCGTGTGCTCCACGGGGTTCATCTCCGTCAACAGCGGCACCGAGAACTTATGCCGCCGCATCGAAGCCTTGATGCCCGCATCATTCTTAAGGCGTTGTAGGAAGGCCAGCGAGCGCGAGGGGTTGGGGAGGTAGGGTAGCGGGCGGAGGGTGGCGAAGGTGTACTGGCTCTCCTCCTGTTCGCGCTTCCAGTCGTGTGTTTTATAGGCCTGTGCCGTCTGTCGCGGTTTCGGGCGCGTGAAGGTTCGTGCAGCAACGGCGCGGGCTTCGTTGAGGGATTGTAGCTCTGTGGTGGTGGCGCCCATGAGGGTTATTTTTGCGGCGGCGAAGGAGGAGACTGGGAGGGCGGGGTCTTTGAAGGGCGGTTTGAGGAGGCCGAGCTTTGGGATCATGAATTTTTGGTTTGTGGCGGGGACGGAGAGGGCCGAGGAGACGGCGGCGGAGAGGTCGGCGATTGTCGCTGAGACGGGGAGGGTGAGAGTCTGGGGAGCGTTGTGGTGGGAGAGGGTGATGGTTTGAGTCTCTTGGTCTGCCTCCAGAGAGAGCGGGGCAACTTCTGCAACTGCCATTGTGCTGTATGTCGGTATGTGGTGTGTTATATCAAATAATGAGAGAGCACGATAAATATATTATAGTACGTACGTAGAGCGTCGTAGAAACCTTGGAGCCTTACTCATGCTTATCGCACCCCCTTATCGGCGGCTGTCACAGGCGAAGGCGTTGGCTTGTAGTAGTGTGCCTGTCAAATGGTACTGCCGTGCCTCGGCTCCCCCCATACTTTCTCATGGAGTCGTCCGGCTGGCCCCAATGGATGACCTTTAATTTTTAAACATCACTATAATAGCGGCGTGTCCTTTCTGGCAACGATATAACTAGCGCTCTGGTCTGTATTTATATCTCAGACGCGCTTTCTACACTTGCTACCAGGGCGACATTGGCTTCAATGACATAACGCTGACAGGATGGCCGACTCAGTTGGTGAGTTTGCACCCCCTTGCTACCTTGCCTCAGAGCACCTCATACGGACCTCCGGATGTCGCGTGTACTCTGTCTTATGCCTACCACGGGACCCTTAGGCCTCAATTCGAAGAACGTAGACTGACAATGTTCCCTACTTTAGATCGTGTGTTTGTGCACGCCCTCAACACCGTCAAGAAGATCCCACGCACCGGTTCTGCTCGGCCACCACCGGCCGACCGCCTACGCCTGTATGGATTATACAAACAAGCTATGGAGGGGGATGTGGATGGCGTGATGGATAGGCCGGGTGGTGGAGGATACACGAAGGACGACGACACAATTAGGGAGCAGGAGAAGTGGGATGCATGGGATGCACAAAAGGGTGTTAGCCGGACAGAGGCTAAGAGGAGGTATATCGAAGCATTGATCGAGACTATGCACCGTTATGCGAGTACGACTTCGTGAGTTTTCCAAGTTTTCCAACTACGCCTCTGGATACTAGTTACTAACGTAGCTATACATAGGGACTCGAGGGAGCTAGTAGCTGAACTAGAGTTCGTCTGGAACCAAATTAAACATAATAGCGCGAGCTCGTCGAATTCGTCGCCACCCCGCGAAGGCTCGGGACGCAGATTTACGGCGCCCATGTCAGGTAGCGAGGGTCCGATGAAAGTGTTAAGCCCCATGTCGCAAGACGATGAGGCGGACAGGGAACACGTACGGCGACTTGTTGAGGAGGAGGATGGGTTGGACGAGGACATCCAAGACGCGGACAGGGCGAAGGGGACGCCCTGGAGGACGAAGGTCGAGTCGACGTTAGTGAAGATGACTACCGAGGTAGCAGCTCTGCGGGAGCAGATTGCCTCGGGGAGGGAGTGGAGGGACAAGAGACGACGCACGATTGGCGCGTGGCTGGGCTGGCTGCTATTTGCCGCCTTAAAGCAGGTGGCTTTCGATGCGTTCTTCCTGATGCTGGTTCTAATTTGGATGCGGAAGAAGAAGGATCGCCGACTCGAGGATCTAGTGCGGGAGTTTCTCCGACAGGGAAGAGCCTACATACGGCAATTCTTACCGCCTCGCTGAACCCAGTCCGATTATATCAGCTGCTGATGATAGTCTTCACGGCTACGACAGTTGTCACGGCAGGTGTCACGGCAGTTCTACCCCCGAATCACCACAAACTCTCCATTGTATATCACTATATACCAAATCCAACACCAAGAAATTTAAACACGTCGCCTCTCAACGCTTATGACTTCACGAGATTGGGAATCCAAGCGGTCTTTCGCTCGGGGAACAGCTCACCCGTCGCCTGCCTTTCCCCCACCCAATTCAGATTGTCTATGAGCCCGCCTTTACGATCTTCCGTCCCGGAAAGAAGTCACCGCTACGCCACAGCGTCGTGCCGCAATCGCCGCAGAAGTGCGACGTGATGAGGCCCCCCGAGTCGGCTTTCTTAATGAACTCCTTGGGAGTGAGAGACGTCAGTGTGGAACCAAGGTGAGGGAAAAGAGAGGAGCGGGGAAGGGGCCGAGGCTAGGTACCGGAGACGAGAGTGAAGTTCTTGTCGAGCACTAAAGCGTTGTGGCTAAACACCGAACCCGAGGTCTTGTGGCAATCGAGGCAATGGCAGAGGACCTAGTATGCTGTTAGATACTATGTTTATGCTCACGGCGATTTGTAGGACATGCGTTCTTCTCGGGCTCGCCGGTAACGGTGACCTTAACGTTGCCTCAACAGCAGCTTCCGGTTTGAGTAGACATGGTAGATGGTTCGTTTGGTAGCGTGTATGCTGTATTTATAAGGGTAGATATTGAAGAGGGAGCTTAGATAGACGAAGAGTCTTATGCTCATATACCTATAGAAAAATAAACCACATGAGTATTAATTCAAAGCTCTCGGACCCCTCTTTTTACCCAACTCTCTGCATATATTGCATATATTGCATATATTGCATATATTGCTTTCCCTCCTCTAAGAGATGCTGATTGATTGCTAAGGGCGAAGGCGGCAGTTCCCCCACTTGCAGATGCTGGATTCCACGTGACTACAAACGCCAACCCATGAATGCATGTGGTTCCCCTTTCTCTCAGCCAGGTCTGATAGAACAACCTCCTTGGATGAACAGGAACAAATTATTCGTTAGTAAGGGTTTGGATGTAAGTGAGCAGATGGCTACCAAATTACATGTCTGAATTCATTCCAAGTAGTTTTATCCACAGAGACAACCTGTTCTCTAGTATCAGTGTTGAGCAAGGTGAGCCTAGAATTCACCTACACAAAGGAAAGGCTTTCATCAAGAGGGTGTAACGTAGCACCCATAAGCCTTTTCTTCTCAGGTTATAAATCTAGTATTATGACAGACTCTCACCTCTATACCTAGACTTATTAAGCCGCACCTTACGAGGATCTATCCGGAAGGCCCGCCTTGCTTTCTAGCCGCCAGATCGCTCAACAAAGCTCTCACCTCAACCTCAACCTGATCAATAATCAAAATTCACCTCCATGCCGACCTCATCACTAGGGAAATAATGGACCCAATGGAGATCGACGCGACGGCGTCCGCAGCCCTAACATCTCCTGCCCTAGAAAGCAGCCATACTCTACCTTCGGACAAGCCACCTCTTGCCAAACGCGTCTTGTTTGAAGTGCCTCCGCGGTCCGAAGATCCAAAGCGACAGCACATCTCACGTCCACCACCGGTCCAGCCAACAGACACAACCACGTCGGTATGACTCCTAACGCTCACCCCTCAAACCCCTGACTAACACCCTACAGCCCGCCACACCCACCACCTCTGGTCCCCCCCCCCTCAGCCTCCTCCCCTCCATCTTCCTCCCTTTCCACGGCGTCCCCACACTCCCCTCCTCCATGCCCCTAACCCGCGAAGCTACCCTCGTCCAAACGATCGACAACCTCACCGCACAGAAGAAAGCTGCAAAGCGGCTACAGATCCACCTTGCCCTCCAGCAACGTGACCGCATCATTGTCACTGAGCGTGCCAAGGCGCGCGCTGCCGGGGAAGGGGGCGCGAAGGAAGTGTCGCGAGAGGTCACGAGTGAGGAAATGGATGCAATTCACTCGCGCCTGGTGGCAAGGCCAGATCCGAAGAAGACGAACAACGAGTTCGAGTACAGGGGCGGCGACTGGATTCGTGACCCCGTGGAGAGGGAGAAGTGGAAGCGGCCGAAGGGAGAGGAGTTGGGGCGTGGAGTGGCGGAGAAGGTGTTGGCGTTGACGGCTGAGGCAGCAGCGAAAATGAAGGTGTATGAGCTGCAGAGTAATTCGGTGTTGGAGGGGAAGAAGAGGGCGCTGGAGAATGAGAGGAAGAGGATGGGGGCGTTGGAGGGGACGGGAGGAGAGATAAGCGGCGCGACGAGGTCAGGTTGAGGTTGAGTTTGAGGCGAAAGGGTTTGGGTTCTAGCTGAATGAGCGGGCGTTCGGGATTTGCTAAGGGTTATTGCGCGGCATGAGCTGTGAAATATGGAGTTTACTACAGGAGTCGAAATACCCACAGAAACGAGCCTTCATTCTGTCTTCAGGAGAGTGGCTATATACAGCCTCCACACTGATAATTCTAAACACAAATGCTAAATGGAAGAGAAAGCATTATAAGAAGTAATAGATGGTTCTTCGGCGCGCGAGGAACGTGATAACTATCTTCGCAACCCTATAACCTGTCGTCAGCCGCAAATTTATTAGTCCAAAACCCTCTATAATGCTTCTCCCGTCCAATCTCCTTGATATTATCTACCTCTCTCGGCGTCAGCTTCCATCTCCCAATATTCGCCAAGTACCCCTTCAACCGGTCCTCTTTCGAACTAGTCGTCAGCACCACCAGCCCCTGGTCCACCACCCACCTCAACGCTACCTCCGCCTCAGTAACCCCATACTTCGCCGCCAAGTTCGAATAATACCGGTCCATCGGCCCTGGCCGCGCGTGTAGAAGCGCCGCCAGCGGCGAAAACGCAACCGTCGCGATCCCGTGCTCCTGGTTAAACTCTACTAGGCCCTGGTGCTGTAGGTACGGGTGGTACTCGATCTGGTTAACTGCCGGTACGACCTTCGCGGTCTTAAGGATCGCCTCGAGGTGCGACTGCAAGAAGTTGCTAACGCCGATGCTACGAGCGCGGCCGCTGGCCTGCACGGCTTCGAACTCGGCCCATTTGGCCTGCAGTTCAGCGTCCGTGGAGGCAAAGAAGGGCGCGTGAATGAGGTAAAGGTCGACGTAGTCGAGGCCGAGCTTCTCGAGGGAAGACGTGATGCTGGCCTCGGTGTCTGTGGGTTTGGTGCCGGAAATTTTGGTGGTGACGAAGAAGGTGGAGCGGGGGAGGCCTGATTGCTTGATTGCTTCACCGAGCTCGCGCTCGTTACCGTAATACTCGGCGCCGTCGAGGTGGTGGTACCCGGCGCGGATGGCCATGAGGATCGTCGCTACGAGGGATTCGTGTAGGTCGTTGCCAGTGTTGCCTACAAGAGATTGGGCGGTGCCGGTACCGTAGCCAAGCTGGGATACGGTTAGCTTGAAGTCCAGGGGAATGAGTAGCAAAGCGGAATCGAACCATGGGAATCTTGTGGCCATCGTTAAGTGTGAGGATTGGAACCCCCTGGACCTCTTTGGGAGAATCGGCACTGGTGTTCCCTTCGTGAGACGGGTTGTAGGAAGCTGTAGTAGAATTCATGTTGACGAATTGTTAAGATAGAGTTATTGGGGTAGCTTTATCGCAGCTTCAGCTTTGAAACCGAGGAATTGTAGACAGAATGTGTTAAAAAATGGGACGTGTAGAGATATATTTGAGGGGCAATTCGCGGGGTATGACGAGCTCTGTTTCACTACTACTGTTGGTAGAATACAGCTGGAGCCTATCGGAACTGCTTTGCTGTAGACTTTAGGGGCCAATTTACATTAATTAGCGGTAGATATGAATGGATTATCAAGAAATTCACTATCTGCCTCTAGAACGAGCCTGGGATCCAGTATTGTGTAAAATTATATTTGAAGAAATCGAGAGTTATATTTGGAGCTGTTCCTTATCGGTTATCACCACAAATCCCACATTTGAGGCTTGTTATCCGGCTACAGGATAACGTCGCACCCGCCGCCCTCCCTCAGCACTTTATTTCATCTCCATACCTTCTCCAGCGCTCCATTACATATATATCAACAGTATATATGGTATGCTATTCCGACAATTGATACGCCCTGTGAACACCTGTGCACGTTTTGTGCAGATGTCGTCCCATATCACCAGCAGCGCCTCTTCCCAGGGCCCCTCCGGAGGCGTAGCCCTGAAGGATCTTCCCAAGTCATGGAACTTTACGGCCAATCTGCCTGCCGACTCTGCGTTTCCAAGCCCAGCGATATCACATAAGACACCGAGAGATGATCTAGGCCCTCGGATGGTCAAGGGTGCCCTGTTTACTTGGGTTCGCCCTGAGGAAGCGGTGGACCCTGAGCTACTCGGGGTCAGTACCGAGGCCCTGAGAGACCTTGGCATAAAGCCTGAGGAAGCACAGACAGACGAGTTCCGCCAGCTTGTTGCTGGTAATAGGCTACTTGGGTGGAACGAAGACAAGCAAGAAGGGGGATACCCCTGGGCACAATGTTATGGAGGCTGGCAATTCGGATCCTGGGCCGGTCAACTCGGTGACGGCCGCGCCATCTCTCTATTCGAGACGACAAACCCCGATACGAAGACTAGATACGAGTTACAACTGAAGGGGGCTGGGATGACGCCATACTCGCGCTTCGCGGATGGCAAAGCAGTACTGCGCTCGTCTATCCGTGAATTCGTCGTCTCTGAAGCCCTTAACGCCCTTCGCATTCCAACCACCCGTGCCCTGTCTCTCACCCTCCTCCCACACTCCAAGGTCCGCCGCGAAAGGACCGAACCTGGGGCAATCGTAACAAGGTTTGCACAATCGTGGCTACGCATCGGTACATTCGACCTCCTCCGCGCCCGTGGCGACAGAGACCTCGTCCGCAAGCTCGCCGATTATACGGCTGAACATGTCTTCAGCGGGTGGAGTTCACTTCCCGCTCGCCTTCCCGATGACCAACAAGATACCGCAGAACCCCCATCTACCCCCGTCGAAAAAGACACTATCGACGGTCCCACTGGGTTGGAGGAAAACCGATACGCCAGGCTCTACCGTGAGATAACTCGCCGCAACGCCAAGACCGTTGCAGCGTGGCAGGCTTATGCCTTCACCAACGGCGTCCTCAACACCGACAACACATCCCTCATGGGCCTCTCCCTCGACTTTGGCCCCTTCGCCTTCCTCGACACCTTCGACCCTAACTACACCCCCAACCACGACGACGGCATGCTACGCTACTCCTACCGCAACCAGCCCACCATCATCTGGTGGAACCTCGTGCGCCTCGGCGAAACCCTCGGCGAGCTAATCGGCGCCGGCGCCGGCGTTGACGCTGCCGAATTCGTTGAGAAAGGTGTCAGGCAGGAAGGCGCTGACGAGCTCGTCTCGCGCGCCGAGGGGCTCATCACACGTACTGGTGAAGAGTACAAGGCGGTCTTCCTGGAAGAGTACAAGCGACTCATGACGGCGCGCCTGGGACTCAAGGTTCACAAGCCCGATGACTTCGAAACGCTGTTTAGCGAGCTACTAGATACGATGGAGGCGCTGAAGTTGGATTTTAATCAGTTCTTCCGCAGGCTGAGTGGGGTGAGCATTAAAGAGATTGAGACCGAGGAGGCTAGGAAGGAGAAGGCTGGGTTGTTCTTCCATAAGGAAGGGGTGGTTGGGGATGAGGCTGTGGCGAGGGAGCGTGTTGGCGCGTGGTTGGATAAGTGGCGTACGAGAGTTGTAGAGGACTGGGGCGCACAGGAAGTTACAGCGCAGGCAGAGGAAGAGAGGCAGGCGGCTATGAAGGCTGTGAACCCGAATTTCATCCCGCGATCGTGGATCCTGGACGAGGTCATCCGGCGCGTGGAGAAGGATGGGGAGAGGGATGTACTGGGGCGCGTGATGAAGATGGCGCTGAACCCCTTCGAAGAGACGTGGGGAGGAGACCGAGAGGAGGAGGAGAGATGGGTGGGAGATGTGCCGAGGGAGGGGAGGGGGATGCAGTGTAGCTGTAGTTCTTAGGCTAGGGTGTATATTAGACAAGAATCTATAACAGGGCGCGACGAATCGATCGCCCGTGGAGGGATGTGTTGTTGACTCTGATGCGGGCATGATCGAGTCTACTGAGGGAATGGTGGCACTACTACTTCAGCATAGTAAGGTTAACATTAACGCATAGGACAAAAAGGGCGACACAGCGCTGTTAACTGCAGCAAAAAAAGGGAATAAGGAGATGGTGACTTTACTCCTTGAGAGCAACACCGACATTGACATAAGCACAAGAAACAAGTATAACCAGTCGCCGCTCACTGTCGCTATCGAAGAAAAGTACTGGAATATTGTGAAGCTATTACTGAAGGAGAGGGGTAGGATGAGCGGAGTTGACGAGCATTTTGCATGGGTTCTAGGAAATCCCGGTGGAACAGAGGAGTGCAATGGTAAATGGAAGGAGTTCAGGCTCAGTTTCGAATGTGTTGTATCTCCTTGAGGGGTGTTTTATATGGACTTCTTATATTACATTACTACATGCAACGCCAGAATTGTAACATAGTCTACAAACTATAAGCTGCCCTGCAAATTTTCCAAACCTGTTATGGAAAGCTATCTATATATCTGCTCGCCACTAGTTCTATAATAATAGGGGTGAGCGCTGACCTTCACTTATAAGTCCCATGAACAACCTTCCCATCCCAAATATTTACCCCATCATTAACCCTCCTCCGATTCGTGGACCCCCTCCTGTTCTGACAGCATCTCGGCACTGCAAGCACCTTTCGCCTAATATATTCTGCTGGGTTGATATCAAACGGGTTATACTTGTTTGCATGAAGGCCTCCATCATCTTCAATCGTCGACAATATTAATCTGCAGCACTTCTGGATTCGTTGGCTGGGACAAGATGGTCGAATGTAACCCCATAGTAATCAATCATACTGTAGCACAAGGGGGTGTCAGCGTATGTTTTTGACAAAGTGTGTAAGATAATCACCCACGATATCGCTGGAGCTAATCTACCAACCATCTTTTATATTCATCCCGTACTATCATGTCTCCAGCGACGTCAGGTCGTATATCTCCGCTGATATATCGCCCGAAACGCCAGCTTCGCCAGCTCCAGGCCGCCGGCCAACGGGAAGTCAGGGAAGTGGTTTGGGATGTGCCATGATACCCCTGGAAGGAGCCTCTGAAGGCTACGAGAACGAGAGGCCATTATGATAGTTGGCGATGGGATGTTGTATCTACAGCACAGATGAGAAGCGAGTAGAGCACTTGAAAGGCAAAAAAGTGATATAAAAGGGCTGTTCCCGGCGTTAATATTTCATATTCCACCTTCAGTTGCACAGTTATCTGGCCGCAACCTTGGTGTGTTTTCTTTCGTCTCCTGCACGTAATAAGATGGAAAGCATGCATTGCAACTCTAGCAGAAAGTAATCGTATTGGAGCAGTGGAAACTATCAAATCGATCTACAACCGAGGAAGATCCGAAATAAGCTGGGGGCGCGTGGTTGCCTTGTCTTTTGGTGGGGAGTATGGCTGAATTGTCGATCTCGAACTCGATGCGATCGATTGTGGCTTATCAACTGGAGAAAGGTAAATCGAACAACCAACCCCCCTTTACCCCTGTTCTGCGCTCTTCACTTCAGTTATAACAGACAGCTGGAAGCCATTTCTGCGATGCCAATTTCCAACTTCAACATTGTTGGCAACAATTATATACTCGGAGGACTCATTTAAGGTCCCAGGTATGAATCCGTCGGCCGCCGTTGAGGTGTGGGTGGACGCGACCACCAGCACTACCACCAGCACTACCACCAACGCAACTATCGATGCGACCAACGACACAATCACCAACCAGCCAACAGGTGTCCCCCAAGAAAACTATGCCGAGAAGAATGCTCCCACGAATGGCGGCATCGATGCAGACAATGATGCCGACAAGAACGCCAGCACCGCGCCTTTCATAAGCCCACCCCCTCCACAGCGACGAGGAGAATGACAGGACGCCCTACCAAACAGAGAAATATAGACAGACGTCCAGGTGTATTAAAGCACCCAGGCGCCAATAATGTGTACACCCGAAAGTGGTGGTTCCTAACCGTCCAGTGGTCCTTTTAGGGTGCGCCATGGGGGACCGATCATGTGTTATATTATGATAGTACTCCATCAGCTATTTACCTTTCAACATTCATATTCAGTTGATTACTATAAAGATTACTATAACGTGCGTGCATAACGAATGATACAACATAACGAATGATACAGTCCAATGTGCTCACTTAACAAATACTATGATAATTCCACTACGACACTATAAATCAATTAAAGCTATGTAGAATACTCATCCTCAGATACCTCTATTACCATCTGACAGGTGCGTGCATTGTGTTTTGTGCCACCACAGTCAGTGTGGGTAATAGTCCAAATAGTCCGTCCAAGGCCTTAAACTGGACTGGACTGTTTAAATATTGAGCAAACTGGACTGGACTGTATATTTATGTGGTCAAACTGGACGGACTGTGAAACTGGCTAATAAACTGACAGTTTGTATATAAATTACATCCAAGATTTCAAACACTCTGTAGCCTCGATAGTCTCCACCCCCAAGTTATTCCTTCTATCAGTAACTGTGAGCAACGCACCTGAAAATAGCCTTTCTGGTTCTGCTGACATAGCTGGAATTGAAAGAATATCAATGCCCATTAAAGAAAGATTAGGATACATTAGCCGCTGCGTAGGTTCTAACCACCATGCAAGTGCATCTTTGACCTCTGACAAGATGGGAGCTTGAAGATACCTAGCATACTCATCTACCTCTGTGTTACGACGGAACAAGAAGGCTGGCCAACTACAGGACAGGAAGGAGGGAGGTCGCATGAGACCGGCCCTGGTACCTGGAGGGGCAGCGGGGAATAGTAGTTCCGAAAGTATCACGTGACGGACTCGCAGGATGATGAGAAGAGTCCTAAGAGTCCAGGACTCCGAGGACTCGAGTGAGTTCCCAGGAGTCCACTAGGCACGTGACGGACTCGCAGGATGATGAGAAGAGTCCTAAGAGTCCAGGACTCCGAGGACTCGAGTGAGTTCCCAAGAGTCCACTAGGCACGACGCCACTATATAAGTAGATAGTATTCCCTTAGATAGGAGCTTCGTGCTCAACTCAATACAGTATTTGTTATATACTAGTAACGTGTTACTTAAAGCCTTTGTGTCTGATCCCCTGCCTCCTCTGATAAGTAAACCTTTACGCAAGAGAACCTCTGTGTCTTCTATCGTTTAGAAGTCAGCGTTACACTTTGAGCACCACTTCTACGAGGTACCGGCTTACACACAAAGCAACATGTCTGTCGTCAGTTCGAAGGGGAAAACCCCCACCACGCCAACTTCATCTCAGAGGTCTAAGCCTGAGAATGAGGAGATGCCCGACGCACCCACCGTCAACGAACTCAAGGAAACTCTACGCGTCAAGTTGCCCGACACTTACTCCGGCAACCGAAAGGAACTTGAGGTGTTTTTGCTACAGGTCGAACTGTACCAGCACTTCAATGATGAGAAGTTTCCCACCCAGGAGAGCTATGCCCTGTGGACTGCGTCCTACCTTAGGGGGGAAGCCCTGCGATGGATCGAACCATTCCTCAAGGACTATTTCAAATATGAAAGTACCAATGGAAGCATGACAACTACGCAGACTATGTTTGGCAGCTGGAATGGATTCTGTAAGGAAATCCGACGCATGTTCGGAGACATCGATGAGATTAAGACCGCAGAAGACCATCTGTTTGCACTTAAGCAGACTGGCAGCGCCCTCACATACTCCACAGAATTCCAGAGATACGGCAATCAGACAGGATGGGACGCCAGCGCACTCATCAGCCACTACCGACGTGGGCTGAAGAGCCATATACGTATGGAACTTGCCCGTTTGGAACAACAACCAACGGACATGGTAGCGCTAATCGAACATACGGTCCGAATCGACAATCGACTATACGAATTCCAGAAGGAACGTCGGACCTATGACAAGCCCAAGAAAAGTTACCCCTACCGGGGAAACGAGGGCAGACGACGGGATCAACACCCGCGAGACAACCGTTGGTCGGACCCAATGGAACTCGATGCCACGTTCAAACCTGGACGACCCCGTGACCCTAAGAAAGACAGACAATTCAAGGAACGACTCTGTTTTAACTGCGACAAGCCAGGCCACATGGCCCGAGACTGCAGACAACCAAAGAAAGGGAACGGCGGACGCAAAGTCGGCAAACAACTCAATGCCACCTGGACAGGACAATTGAACGCAACGTTTGTGAACAAACAGGACTGGGGAATAAACGGCGAAAGCACCCCAGAAGACGAGAGCTCAGATGAAGGGTCGGAGGCGGAATCGTTCACCGTCTCGGAACAGGAGACCTTCGATGAACTCGCACCTACGGAACCAATGAGTCCACGGTGCAAGAGCGTAGTAAGACGCATGGCAAAACACGCCCACGCGAAGATTAGGGCCGAACGAGACAAGCCCAATGGCCAGAGGAGAATCCCCATGCTTAAAGACCTCTACGGGAACCTGTTACAGGAACTTCCGTTAAAGTGCAAGGTGGACGACTGCAAGGATGACCTCTGGAGATACTACGACCAACTAACGAATACCCGCAGGCTGCTTGGCACGTCCCAAGACGTAGCTAAGTTGGAAGCCCAAGAAGCGGAAGAACTGGAGAAGGATGTCGAGCATATGGCTAAACTGAAGTATATGAAAAGCGTCGAACTTTACTACCAGGACCGCAGGAGAGCCCTGAAGAAGTACGACGAGAAAGCCAGAGATATGCTCCGACGGGAAAATGCGAGACCCACTCCACGCATCGAAAGGAGAGCCTGGAGCAACTAGACACGTTCTCCACGCCTCCGAGGGAAGATAGTGCATGGGTGAGAGGACAGCGGGAACTATCAACGACAGACGCAACAGAGACTGATCATCCCTGGCACGCGTATGTCTACTGGGAGTATTGCAGCGAAGATGATTGCAAGCTCCACTGGAAAAAGAAACACCAGAATCAGTTGTTTCCCCGATCCTCGCCCAGGATACACTTCAGAGACGCAGAGCAAGTTCACGCCCTCAGGCGAAGCCAGTCTGAAGGAGACTTGCCTATCAAAAGCGAACAGGTATACGAGAAATACCCACATCTGCTAGATGAAGCAGAAGAGCGAGGGAAACGATCTCCCCAAGGACCACCATTGGAAGCGGATGAATACTATCCTTCCTCGGACGAGTCAAAAAACTAGGAGTCCTCGACGGTAGGCCACCGGCGAGCGACACGAAGAGGCCTAGTACAGACCAACTATGCGCCACGACGGGCAGCATGCAACTATATGTGGTCGCTAAGATACAACAGCGACACCTCCGAGCAATGATTGACTCAGGAGCGACGGGCAACTTTATGACAAAGAAAGTAGCAGATACACAGGGCTTCAAAACAACAATGAAAGCCGAACCAT